CAAGGCAATGTTGGGGCGACCGGAGCTGGCCGCGGGCGTGGTGGTTGAGAAAGATAAACAGCCCGTCTGTGTGCCACGGACGACCTGGTCTCCGCACAATGATACAGTTTCGTCCCATACACCATATATTCCCGTCCCACACAACCGGGTTCCTGCTCGTTGAGGGGTTTCATATCTCAAGTGGGTGAGTGTCATAAGAACCATATTGAGACGGTGCTATTGCTGCTCAGTCCTCCGTCCTCCAGTCTCTCCACTCTGAGAACAAAACAATCTTGTCAGTTGACAACCTTCCACCATAAACTACCTCTCTATCAACCAATTCACGCGTAAGTCATAAACTGCTGCACCCATGCATGGGGCACGACGTAGAAATCGTCGCTTGTGAAGGATGAATTAAGTATGGTAGAGGCGAAAGGTTTTTTTAAGAATTTATAATTCTTCGTTCTCCACTCCCGGCTCATCCCAAATAACGTCATTTATTGGTCCGAGGAGGTTCGTGACTGAGCGGCTGCTCCAGTCTTGCTAGAAGTGGGGTTCATCCAACTCTTTTGAACAGTCTTCGCGTTGTTTTTAATATTGTGACACTTAATTACTGTCAACACTAGCAAACAGTGGCTTCTCGAAGCTAAGCACTAAGCGTGCTATTTCTCTTACTCGATCGTATAGAGGAACTTTTGGGAAATGAACGAATAAAAGTTCTCACACATAGTTTTCTTCCATCAAGTCCAGCCATCAGAAGTGCATCCGCTAAATAACGATCAGAAAGCTCTTGATATGGAATATGAGTCTTCTTCTGCAAGAACTCAAGCACAGATTTTCTGTTTTGGTCATCGGTCTAGACATCACTTTCACTGTCAGGAAAATTCACTTCTACAGGGCTCCTTCTCGTATTACCGAAGTGAAGGCCAGAGCAACCTGTTTCCTAATGTCCTTCTACCAGCATAAAATTCGGTCTAGAGTTGGGATCATTAATGAGAGATTGTGAACTTGAACTTTATTAGGACTACCTGAGCAGGAAAGGTTCCAGGAGTATCCTGTGGGAGTCATCTTTGGAGATGCCATCCAACCTCGACGATTTAAAATCCCTTTTCGCACCCTCATTGTCAGGTAAGCAGGGGTTACTACTTACGCAGATTCAGTGGACTAATCTAGTGGACGTTGACATCAAAAATCAATCCGAATGAACATTTTCGAATAAATAGTATTTAGTAAGGAAGGGAAGACTAAAGTTAAGGGCATGTTGACTTTAGTTTGAATTTTAAATTTTCGCTTCTTTATTTCATCTATTCGTCTTAGTTGACTTTGTTTCTTTACAACAAGGCACTTAGTTTGCCCTTTCTTGCAAATAAAATTGCTTCTCATTGTTGCTTAGCAGATTGTTTGGCACACTGAAATGTTTGGTGGCACCAAGCACATCAGACCCTGGCGCTGTCGTCTTAACCGACTGTTTATTTCAACTCTAGGGAAATATGTCAGTGTCCTTTCTTCGACATATGTTTACTACAATTTTAACGCTTAAAAGTTTTGGTGTTTCCCTTTTCAGCAATCAGCCTCTCACACTTCAGAACTGCAGGATTTGGTACCTTGCAAATTTCTCCAAAAACAATGTCACTCGTCAGAGGAGCGGATCTGCACCCCCAAATTACCGGAACCACGACTTTTTCGGCGAGGACAACGGCCCTGAATATGACTTAGCTGCGTCTGAGAGACGACAACAACAGGGCTCCCCTCCCCACACGTTCGATGAAGCGGGAAGCCCCAGAAGCTCAACCTGCTGTATGTCCTTCCCAATGAGTTCCAAAAGGGTCGGTAGAAGTATCCAACACCCGCTATCTGAATCAGCGAGTCAACTGTTGGAAATAGCCGCATCACTGGTCACAACAATACCAAATCGCGAAACTGTTTCCACTGTAAGCGATTCGGCCGTCTTCACTGACACCGACTCTACTTTGGCCAATGTTCCTAGTCCGGATTTTATAGTTCGGAGACTATCATACCCGAAAACAGAGGGACCTTTGGCCCAGCAAGCTCTCTGTGATTCAGCTGGCAGGACCAACCGCAATTTAGTTCAGTCCCACCGGAAAGTCTGTGGGTCTCAAGAAAACAGCCCACAGAAAAGGGTAAGCTTGGAATTAACTAAAGTGCAACAGGGTAATCTGCCAACTGTAGCATCAACAGCTGTAGAAGGTGATTCCATTGGCCGGGGTACTGATGAACAGCCCATAGATGATACCCACGGCAATGAGAAGAACTCCAGTGAGCTGCCCCTATCAACATACACCAGTACAGCAGTAAATGTCTATTCCAAAGAAAACACCAGCGCAATTCGACCTCTCTCCGCTTCGAAGGCAGGAAGTGACGAAAGCTGCGCTCCAGTCCATCTCAGTGCTGGACTGCCATGTCACGGTTTTGAGTTTTCCTCATGCGAAACCGTATCCGAGAGCCTCTCCGAAGGCACCACACAAATCTCCAATCCTTATTTCACGGGGTCGCGGGTTGGCGCCAGCCAGCACACTTCTGAGCGCAGCTCAATTTCTGTCTCAACAGAACCACCGCGCTCTCCTAAATGCTCCTCCGCATGCGATCTTCGAATCGATGGGGACCGGCCTTCGAGTAATCAGAATTTAACCGTGGTCACCCAGTCATTCAAACTCGAGGAAGGACCGACGCTCAGGCTATTCACCTCAGTGGTCCTTGAAGACAACTCATGTTCTTGCGAGGAAGTTACGGCTACTGCTGCCTCTGAAGTTTCTTTAAGCGGAAAAGCTGGAAGTTTAGTCAGTACTGAGAGTCCGTCTGTCCTTCCATCAGGGTTTAACGCTGTACAGAGGCAGACGCTCACTGGAGCTTTATCAAGTGCAACTTCGATAGTCGCGACTAACGAGGACGAAATGGAATCTAAACAGGGTAATATTCAGACAACTGGTCTACACTCAAAAGCCTCCAATACGAAATTCTCTGGGGACGAGAATGGAATGTCCAATAGTTACGAAAGTACAAATAAGCCTCACTTAGTTATGAAGCCCAATTTAGATACAGTATGTGACAAAACTTGCGCTGAGTTGAATGCTGACACCGGAACTCTGACACACGATGATGAGCAATATGAAGCCTCCAATGGTAACAGGATCCGAGAGCAGCCTGATTTAGAGCATTCGCCAGTCGTCCAGCTAGGAAGGCCGTTCATCGCAGAAGACGCGCAATCGAATTACGACAAACGCGGCACTGATAAGCATGCAATGAAGTTCCCGGACTTGGCCGTGAGTGAGTCAAGTGAACAAAGTGCCCAGGTTCCAAGTAGTAACCATATGAAGGACAGCTTGCGACGAAAAGAAGAAAATGTATCCAGGTATTCAGGGAACCTTTTAGGAACAACCAGTTATGGCATCGATAGTATAGGCACCGAGCCTCGCAAACTGGCACCTGTTTACCAACTAAAGCCGCAATACGCTGAAACCCATTCCTACAGATCCCTAAAACTAGATGGTAGGACAAATGAATTAGGACAGATGCCTATTTTGATGGAAAGCCAGGAAGTTGGAGGGCCTCAAAATTTGGACCAGATATTCGAAAAATGGCCGGCAGTCAGTGCAGACACATTGACGGTATCCACTCACAGTGCAGCACCCCAAGAACAAGAAGAATCATACAGAAACGAGAAAGAAACGGTCGGGCTTGTGAGCTCTACGCAGTTCCCCAGCCAAAAACCGGATCGAATTCAAGACGGAAGCCATAAATATGGGCAGCAAATAAATGTCGTCGGCTCTTTGAACGTCAGAAGTAAAGGTTGTGGCGCAGTTGACAGTTCTTCTTCTGGGGGTTACTTTCCTTCCATCGAGCCGAATAAGTCGTCCGACTACGTATGTACCAAAAACTGTACTGGCGGTTCTGTGAAGACAACTGTATCTGATTCATTCCCGGCTGGAATGCCTCAGGAAATTAAAGCTTCGAAGTTACCGAGTCAGACCAGCCAAGAGCTGATAATTTCACACAGCCCAGGAGGCCTTGAGTCGGTTTTTCAGGATGAACGAGCCAAATTATTTCGGAAGTTTCAAAGTACCGATGCAGACATGCTAGTTCAGACGGAAGAGCAGATGGTAGACGCAGTGGATCAGTCGAGTTCCGACGCAGTCGAAAGGGCTTTGAACGTAGTTGAAAGGGATGAACTTCCGATTATAACTGACTATCCGGCCGGCCACAAGTGTGATGTCCTCGAAAACTGGTCAAAACGGGTCTCCATTAGTTGCTCTAGTCGCCCTCCTCCCAATACCCATTATGTCAGTCGTGACGAGAGCGTAAAACCACCGGAGAGTTCGTTGAAAATGTCCAACATTCAACAAGCTGATAATGAGCGCAAGGAGATTCAACGAAACGTACTTGGGTTCAAATCTACGATTGCGTCTTCATTTACCGTTCACAGCGAAACTCCTCTCGAATGTATGCAGTTAGTGGCTGAGTCAAAGTGTACCTCAGAGTCCTTAAAAGACAAGTCGAGCGAGTACGTTGGAATCGATGACCACGGAATTTCGAAGCAAGAACAGTTGAATGTTGATCCCATCGCTGAAACCAACAAATGTCCACATGACGAAGCCATGAATAGATCTTCAGAATTCAGTGAGGAACACAACTCTTCCGTTGATGCGCAGAAAACGAACGTTATGCCCAAAGCTTCCGTAATCAACACACGTGAGCCGAGTCCTACCCTTTTACTCAGACAAGATAGGCCAATATTCCTGTCACCGCGTTCCCAGCTCGACGGCAAAAGCTCTTCAAAAACAGACTTGAAAATGCCGAACGAGTTACGGAAAACAACCCATTCAACCGGATCTGCACAGGACAATCTGAGTGTGAATACTCCTTCTTGTACACCAAAAGAAAGACCAAGTCGTCCCTCTGTTAGTTCGACGAGCAGAGTCTTCAAACTCCGATCAGAACCCAGGAGTCAATGTGTCCATCAGCGTCATGTTGAAATGCTGCAATCCAGAACTTCATCCAGCGGGTTACGCGAGGCCAAACTGGACAATAAAACTACTACCAGGACTGCTGTCAGCAGAAAAGAATCTGCACCGAAAAAACTGGGGAACCTGTCTGTTGCGAGTCCGTGTGTTACTGACAGAGCGCAGACGAAAAGCCGAAAGGCGTCACTACAATCGTCGGAAAAGCCTTCAAAAACAGAGGCTGCAGTGACTGAAATTAAGAGTTCTTTCCCCGATGTGCCGTCTTTTCCTGATACTTCGTCAGTACTCCCGGCTTCAACTAGCAAGACCCTCAGAACAGAAATAGGGCAGTCTAATGAAGCTCCACCAGCTGCGACCTTCGACGATGGTGAAGTGCTAAGCCCGATTTCGGACACTGTTGAAAGCTATGTCGTTCAGAATACTGAAAGTGCAGTATCTGGCACAATTGTTGGAATTGATAAGGGTGAAGTACAGTTAGATGTCACTGAAAGATCTGAGCCCAGACCAATAAAACCCTTAATCCGTGACGTCACACAAGAAGAAAGTACAGAAGCTAAACCACTGAGGGAGATATCGGGTACAGCAAGTGATGCCTCTACCAATGATCCCTCTGCCAGCAAAATCAATTCACCAGACCCCAGTCGACGCCCAAAAACAGGAGCAGATACACAAAGTCCTGACGGTTTGCTGAAATCCCCCCAACAGGTTACTGAACAGATGTTGTGTCAACTCGACTCCTCGAACTTTAATGATGGAGACATGCCAAATCGCGATCGGGAAGGAAGACGTAGCATTCCAGCGATACTGGAGGATAACGTTCACCCTTCCCCCCTATCTCTACGCTCATTGGGCGATGAGGAGGTCGTCGTGAGTAAGAGCGACAAATTTTGTTCAAATGCCACTTCAAGCGGACCGGGTGTTTTCTTTGAGCCTTCAGAAGCTGCATACTGTCGTACCGTCTCCTCGCAATCTTTTGAGAAAAGTGTAAGCAAAGTCGCCTCTCGTGAGGATTACGCCACTGTCAGTGTTTTGCCTGTTAGCCAGTCTCCGCGAGGAAAGCACTCTTTTCCACACCAAAGATTGGTCTTGGACAAAAGTCTTAGTAACAGTGAACGGCAACCCAGCCCTTCACCTACATGCGACTGGCCCAATATTGACGACCGAGAAGCGGGCATCCCCTCTGATAACGAAAGCAAAGGGAGGGCGTGTGATTTAGACCAAGAAACTTCCCTATCAACAACCTCCGGTCGGCAAGAAGGTTTTTTGAACTCAGGAGTGGTTGTAATATCAAAGAATGCTTCCTCCTTCCTCCCCTCCCCTTCAGATTCACCAGGCGCCAATACCATTGAGCTAAAATCAGGAGAAATAAACCCATGCGGACCAGACGTTACTTCAGGAGCACGGGAAGAGGCCTCAAAGCGAATAGGACAATCTAGAGCCTGGGTTACCTTAACGTCTCCAATGCCAGTTGAGTTTGGCAAAACGCCAGAAACTACTCCATATTTTCCAGTTGACCAGCCTGGCTCGGTATGTACCACAAGTTCCTACTCGACGAGTTACGTGAACGACGAACAAAGAGGCAAAGAATCAAACGATGGATCCACGTTGGCAGAAACAATAAAGACACTTAACTCTGCTCACCTAGTGAACATCGAGACCTCCACGTGGGGAAAGGAGACCGCGAGTCAGATATGCGGGTTAACCAGCAACTCAAGCCCGGCATCCATATTCTCTTTTGCTACGAAGTCTCGTAATGAAGAAGCTACGAGTGAAGCGTCGTTTGGTCCAAGTACTAAGTCGGTTATCCTAGATACAGACCCGCATCCGCAAGCTTCAAAGTCCATTTACGACCTGGCCAAGGGTAAATCTATTTCAAACCCGACGCAGACTTCCGAGAACACTCCTTTAGTAGTATCGACTACACAAGAGACCGGAAAGTTGTCGCAGAGTATCCCCCGGTCATCAGGACTAAAAGTGAATGAAGACATTACGGCCACGCATGCACTCTCAAAGAGCGAAAAAAATGAAGTTCCAGCAATGTCTCCGAGGAAGGCCGGAGAGGACCCTATCTACGAGAGCGTATGTCCGTCAGAAAAGGTAGTGCAAAGGTCAGATTGTCAGACAAAAGAGGAACCTCTTAAAGACTCTTCTCAGACCGCTGACAGAAATACTTCTGCCCTCACGCAAACGCCCAGCAATAAAAGTCCTCCTGCTGCGATCATTGGGAAGTCAAACAATACTGAATGGTATGATTCCGATCAAGTTCTTCCGGCTGCACAAACTGCCACCGAAAACGGGGAAGTTTATATTTCCAAAAGTGCATATCTCTCAGACCGTGTTCCTAAAGCAGGCCATAACTTATTTGGCGACTTGAATACGGTGCAGGATGATAACATCAGAAAAACTCTTAATCTAAGACAGACAAGCTCATCGGTTGCTCATTCGGATTCGGAATTCCAAACATCTGAAAAAGGGGACCATTCGCCTACACCTACTGAAATTAGGCCCCAGGATGTGTCCAATATTCCTGGTAGTGAAGGAGAATGTATAAGTTGTTCAGAAGAAGGTCGAGCGACAGCAAAGAATCCCACTCTTTCTATCGCAGGCTCCCTTCAGAGTTCAGACAGCTTTCCCTTTGAGGAGCAGCACGAGTCTTCTGATGGGGTGAAGTTCGCACAAGAAGAAAACAGTGAGAATCCGAGCACAGGGGGTTTATTTAATGCTGCTACGCTAGTTTTATCCGAAAAAGAACAATATGACCAAATACACCTCTGTGACGAAATCGGTGCTTCAAGGCTTACCCAACAAATCGTGATTGAAAAGTCGAATATGAAAGCCGTAGGGTCTCAAGTTAATTGTTCAGCAGAATTGTTAGAACGTCCTACTTATGTCATTCAAGACCTTATTGGTAGCTCAGATAGAATAGCCAATTTTACACATATTTCCGATAGTCCTGGAAACCGTCCGGGATATGAGAAACCAGTTCGATCAACAAGTGGGACCTGTCCCTCCAAAGCAAACTCTATGGAGCATTCTGGATCTAACCAAACAAGTGAGGTCAACGGGCTACATGCGGACCTCTCGCTCATAAATGAAAATTCTCAAATGGATACTCCAGGGGAGGCTAGAAATGCAACTACTGAAATGGTCGAAGTAGAAACTGGAACATTGCAACCGTTAGACATCGCGGTCACCAACCCCTCCACAACATGCCATTCGTTTCCAAAATGCCTCCTTGAAGATCAAGATGAGGTCAAATGGCAGAAAAATCCGCAAGACCTACACCGTTCAACAGACGATTCTGTCAAGCTGTACGACTCGTTGGATGACGCTTCAGAGTTACTACGTCAAGCGCATAATGACGAAATTGGGGACCGGCACACTAGCCCTGTTCACGAAACTCCCTCGAGGCAAGACGGAGAAATAAAATTGTCCTCAGCCGGAGTTCTCACAGAAGCCAGACTAACAGACTCGAGCACCACTCCTCTTTGTTTGACTGTAGATTGTAGGTCAGAGTATCCATTCAAAAAAGATCAGTCTGTTGTCAGCCAAACTGGTCGTTCTAGCGTTGTAGAAACAGACAACATAAAACCAAGAGATCCGTTGATATGGTCGCATTCAATATCTACCAGTTTGCAGAATACTGGTATTCCTCTTGAGCTGCAACTCACTTCCTCAACCACTTCCCACCTGTGCGAGAGTTTTACAACTAGCTGTTTAGAATGCCCACAACCTAGCAGAAAATCACCAGAAACAGGCAAGCAATCATTACGGATTCGCAATAAGGGACGAAGGGGGTGTGATGCTTCTGATGTCCAATACCACCCCAAATGTCTTGTCTCCGGAGATCAGATATCTGGACGCGTTTTTGACTTAGCAGCCGAACAACACCTTCGTTCCAAATGTAAAGTCAGTGCCGGTGAGTCTGCTCAGGGAAATTCGTCTGCAAAACACGATGACACCCTGACAAGAGTAGATTCTAGGGAGGTTCTGCCTCAAACCTTTGAAAGAATTGATCCGGGAATTGTCGACACAAGATTCTATGAGATGGAAGGTCTCTCCGAACCCGTTCCTAGCAAAACGCACTCCATTTATCAGATATTGATGAAGAGGAAGCCTGAAGACCCCTCCTCTCCCCTTGTGGATGAGGCCGGCAAAGTACCTTTTAAGTCGGGACAATCATCAGCACCATCTCCCTCCTCACTTTTTAGCACTGAACCGTCAACAAAGAGTTCTGCACGACTTAAGAGCGAAATTAACACAGGTTCCTCCCCGATTGACGCTGAAGGCGACGACTCTCTTTTGGTTAGTAACAGTGGCATACAAAGCCCCTCCTCACCTTGCTCGGTGCCCATCCAAGTACCGGATACCTCCGTAATGCCTGAGACTACTAAGGATAGATGCAAATCGCCGAAAAAGCTCAAAGATTATTTCCTCCCTCCTTTCGTATCCACAGCAAAAAATAATGTAGAAAACAAGACAAATACTGCCGATGAACATGGTAGGGGAGCCACTCAAAGGATGAAGTTAAGTCTTTCCTCAGCGAAGCCTCTTGCCTTCGCTGGGACTAAGTCAGAGGGGTTATCCGGGGTATTATCCAGCCAACCCCCTTCATCGTTTGTCAAGTTCACAACAGAAAAGCAATCACAAGGACCGCTCTCGAAAGTCACCTCCGCTGAGATGAGAAAGTCAGGATCTAAGGCAAACGACGCAGGGTTCATAGTAAGGGTTTCTGAACCGGATCCTGGCAGTAATACAAACCCACTAGATATGTGTGCCAGCGCGGTACGTGACGGTGTCGGATCGCAAAAAAACCTCAAAGAAATCGTACAAATACCATCTTCAGACACTTCTTCTTCATCATCATCTTCAGTCACTCTCAGGCCCAAAACACCTACCGAAGGGCGAGGCTTCAAAAATGCTTTGGTTGCACTCGGTTTGACTGTCAGTTGTCTTCCCTGTGAAGGCGATGAAGGATCAGCCAACAAAAAGTTTACCAGTCTTTTTGGTACTGATGAAAACTCAAAGGAGTCGGTGTGCGCTATGGACGCTGACGTTCGGAGTTCAGAACCCGTAGGCATTACAGCAGATAGACTCCGTCTAAGCAGCGATACCAAGTTGTTTCCCAAAGAAAATCGTGGTCATATCGATAATTGGTCCGAGTCTGTAACACAACACTTTGCGACCGACCGAGTTCCTTCCCAGGAAAATACGGTTTCTGAAAGAATACTTAACCTGTCTCATCCGACATTGGACATATGTTTCTGCCAGGGAACACAACAGAATACCTGCCTGAACGAAGCCAGCCTTATGAGCAGCAGTGTCGCGTATGAAACCGAATTGTGTGCCATTGAAAACTACTCCGGGAGTGGGTCAGCATCCTTTAAGGACGACTTGCAGCGTGGCCTTCCATCTACCTGTGAACCCAAAACAAAAGTCCATATTCTGGAGAAAATTTCAAAACCGGAGTCTGGCGTTGCCTCGGTCGGTCACACGATCCCACTTTGCGGTCATGTCGTTCAACAGGATTCGAAAATTTTGAAGGAATCAGAGGCAGGTCTATATGCCAGTTCCGATCGTCAGAGCTGTATTCCTGCTGCTCCAACGAACCAACACAAATTTACTGTAACACAAGCTTCTGAACTTGAAAATGCATCGACCGCGATGACAGAACAGCCAGAGTTAGGTTATGCAGATGAAAAAGTGGGAGAGAGGCATGAGCGGGAAAATCGCGGAGTCACAAGTCCTGCTGGAGCTGTGTTGCCTTCGCCTTTCTGGAACGGACTAAAAGATCGGCATTCTAGATTCAGAAGTCAATGCTCTAGTCCATGCGTCCGTTCGCTTCCTGGAAACGACTTCTCTTTTGTGGAAAACAATGAAGTCCTAACTAATGTTAGCTCAATCTCGTCTTCATCCTCGTCTTCCTCTCACCTGGAATTTTCTATCCCCTCCTCCAACGACTGCTTGCGGAAGCTTTCTAGGGGCCTACTACGTCCCCAAGGCAATGGATCTTCGCCCAAACTGAGGATACTAATCCCACCGGTTCCCTCTGCTCCATCCGAAGAGAGTCACATGGCGCATTCGACTTCAGCAGCGGCGACAGCAGACACACCTAGATGCCTTCCGCGCCTTCAGTTTTTCACTTCTACTTCCACTTCCGCCACCTCGCTCTGCAGCCCGGTCTACGGAGAATCAAGTTCTGTGGGCATAGAGGAACTGCTTGCAGATCACGCGCCCTCTATGGACTCCCTTCTCTCTCTTCCTAGGCCACATCCGGTCTTGCTGGACATCAGAAGCGGTCGAGGACAGAAAATTGCGTTTGAAGACCTTGTCAGTCAATCCGACGACTGGTCCGGTGGGACCGAGGAGGACCGAAAACACTGTGAAGGCAAGGTTACTCACTGGAAAAGCTTTCCGAATATTTGCTATGGGATGAACCAGGGCACTGATGACGCTTATCACTATGATTTACGTGAGCAATTGGCAGGCCGACGAAGTATGAACCGAGGGACTGATGTTTCCACAGATTTTGAAAGGTTAGTGTTTTACTCATGGCTTTCACTTTACTGTGCATTCCTTTTCCTCCAAAAAGAAAGAGAGAAAAACCATCTATTAATTTACTTTTGTCCCAGAAAGGCTCTGAGTATTGTCTACAGGGTAAAACACCCATTTTTGGTCCCACTTGCAGTTTACAAAAAATTTCCGAACTAGTTCAAATAGTTCGAAATAGAGGAATTCTCGAAGATATTTTTCTCTAACTTTCATTACTAGCCATGTGCTCAGTGTTTATGAAAGTGTCTCCTGTGAGAAGAGGTGGGGTTAGTGCAAAAGGATGACAACTAATTTTAGTCCGGATGACCTCGGCCTTAATTGTAGACTCACGTAATCCCGTTAAAATTCCTTGCCAGAAAACGTCCGATGTAAGATCGCGTATCTACTAGCCACGCAGGCTGTACTGCAATTCTGTCTCCCACTACGTGCGGTTGGAGCCGAGTGTGGCGCCAGGCCAGCCGTCGCTCTTATTGCTGTTGGGTAAAATTCTGTCCAAGTGCTTCTTATGGACCAGGGGATGTGGTGGTACGTCTAAGTACGGGTGCAGCCGCGCCAGCCACCCGCGCCCTCCTGTCTCTGGTCTTCTCGACTATGTCTTGACACCAGGCCCAGGTGAGGGAGGAGAGGGTGCGGTAGATGCTGCGCAAGCCCACTATCACTACACAAAACTCACACACAGGTCACCGTGTCTGCTCCCACCCTGCTGTAGAACAGACGGTGGACATCGTCAGTCACGACGGTCAAATTGTCACTGTACTTTTATACCCTATGTTCTGCATGCCCTTAGTTTTTATCCAAAGAAGTGAATAAGGTAGAAAAGTCATTTTCCGGATTTTTACACGGACAGTGATTGTCACGCAAAAGGACAAAAGAACACGGAAGGACCATTTTCGGATTATTTCCCCTCATCGATTAGCCGTGTCCTAACTTCGGGTTCCGGGTGACCCAAGACGTAAGTCGGGGTCGCTGGGCCATCGAAAAGTGTTCCGTTTACTGTTTTACCAGTTAAGCTACCGGTCCATGCCCCTTGATTTGCCGCCGCGAGTCACGTTCACTTTAAGTCTATAGGCAAAAATAGGGACAATGCCTGACAATTTCTTATACTGATGCTTACACACTGGCTGGGTACCAGCAGATTTTACACTTTGCTGCGATAAGTGAAATCAACAGCCTCAGCAAACCTGAAATATGCACGTTTTTGTCTCTGCTACCAATCTGAACCATTTTACTCCACAAAACTGCGGTTTTAATTTTCCTCTCATTTTGAAGGACAATTGGAATTCGTAGTTTCTTCAATATAAACATATCTATTTTGCCACTTATTCGTGTTTTAATAGGGTTACCAGTGAACCTAAACAAGGGCAGCAGAATAGAACGCCCTGTTTCTAACCATTTAATTCCGCTAGGGGATAAAACGAACTGACATAGAAGTTACCGAATGACTTACGTGGTCAAGAGTCATTCGTGGTTAGAATTGGCGGGCTTTTAAAGTCCATTAAGTTTTGAATTCGTACTCTTCTCATTTCTAAGCAGTAACTAACCGCCACTCACCCCAGGACGTCCTTTGCAATAAAAATTCATACCACCTTCTGTCCAGATAGACCGCCGGTTTCGCGTCAGTTGACAACCTAGCCTCATCCATTTGATTAATGCACGGTGAAAGTCAGACAGTATGCGTGCTTCAAAAGTTCTGTACCGACAGCAGTTGATTAGGTGGACTACAGCAAATAGAAAGCGCACACGACCGGGAACGCCTCATGAGAAAATCCCGCACGGACCTTCGAATTCCCTACTTTCTACACACAGTTCTGGCAATTACGCTCTCTGGTAACTTTTCATGGCCTCGAATTTAAAACAAAGAGTATTACTATTACGGGCATTATGATGAAGATATTTTCCAGAAAATCTAATTATTTTTCTTTGAGATAATGGAAGACAACCACATTTTGTGTGCGAAGCCACCAATAATTCCGTACGGACAACTGGCTTTGGAGTATAAATTCTGCATTACTTACAGAAAGTGAGTGTCCAGTGACTCTCTAACCCTAAGTACTAACTCTAAAACCCGACCATAAAGCCAACTATAAACCCTAAACCCTGGACACTATCCCTTAACCTAACCCTTAACTATAAACCTTAGATCCCAGTCGTAAACTCGAACACCAACATAATTGTGAATCCTAATCGCAGCAGTCCGCGATGCACCTCGAATTGAAAGTATCCGCAAGTAGTACTACGCCTGCTGAAATCACTGATAGTACGAAAGCGATAAATGTTCACGAAGCACGACAGCGTTTCCGAGTCCCATCGTTGCAAAAAACGGGTTTGTGAAGTCGTCGGTAAAAATACGACGAGTAGGTATACAGTGTCATATAGATCAGCGGTTCCTACCACGAATCCATGAAGCCCAATGACAAAAACCCTGAGCAGAGAGTCAGTTACGTCGATTCTAGGTGAATCGCGTTCAGCATCTTAAAGGCCGCGCTTTTTAAGTTTGAGCAAAATACTTGACAGAGCAGTCCGATTTGAGTCCACGAAGGATGATGGCTTAGTGCCGTCGGATGCGAAGAGATGTTTTTTGAAAAAAAAATCCAGAACCGGCATAAACCCCCTGAATTAGCTTAGCACAGATAAGCTCTCGGAACTCAGCTACATTTCTGCTGACAAAGAATCTTAAAATTCCCGTTTAAGCGTGAAGAATCTTTTTCGTAAGGACCAGGTGCAAAAACAGTCGCATCATCACGTAGTTCATCCACTCAGCTTCCGACATTACTGTTCTTCAATAAGTAGCACTATTTATCTAATGAACTAGTTGTGTACAATCTTAAGACATCGAAAATATGGACGAGCTTTTCAACTCGAATTCTGCTTTTTCAGGAAGATGCCTTCTAGTGGCAGACTGTGCGGCTGCCGATGTAGTGCGCAGGTAGTATGTTTCCGCCTACTGTCCATAAGTTATCCTCAGTTAAAGTGCCGGCGCATTCTCCTTGTGGTCAGGGAGTAAGGAACAGGTTATGGCACTAAACGACCAAAATGACCGAGACATTTTCAATTTAAAATATTCCAACTTTCTCCCTAGGAGACTCTTAACCTTTCTGAGGGCTTTACTCCGCAGCACGACGTATGCTCTTTAGTTTTATACTTTAAGCCTCTCCGGCCGGGACTCCCCATTCCGTAATGTTCTGCACGTCGATCTTCAACTTTCGACTGGTCGAATGGGTCTGCGACTGACGAAACCCGAAGTCATTTTACGCTATTTCGAGACATTTCCTCTTCCTGACTGGGTCTCAATAATTCTGAGTCGACTTTGAAAATGTTTATACAAGGAACAGGGATGTATCTTGTGAGAAGTAAGGAGTTTACGATGTTTGGGACTGTCTGAAGTAGTCTGCCTGACATTTGCAAGCTGCCAGTTAAAGAACTCCAAAACTTTATGGAAGCGTTTACTTTCTTATCAAAGTTGATGCTTTCCTTTGAGTTTGCGTCTCGGGGCCTTTGTAAGAGTTGCAGGCATTGCAATTTTCTAATTTTCTGCCTCAGAGCTACCGTTTGACGTTAGTAAAAGCATGCTTTAGTAAATACCGTAGTTTATTTACGCAGGAGATTTTCATGCAGGACTGCCTAGTGGTCTCCGGAGCCAACATTCATATTCGCCCAAACTCGAAGGTGCTATTTTTCCGATGAAATTATTTTGTCCATCGAGCCGAAGTAAACTAAAGTTTACTATTTATATCCCCTTAGGTTTCATGTCGAATCAACTGAACTACCGAAGTGGCTGAGTGAGATTACTGTATCAGGATCCCTCCAGGGTAAATTATTTACTCCTTTCTGATCACTATTTTTAATTAATTGTCCTATTTTTCAAAAGGAAATGAAGCAAGCCAATTAATACGACACTTACTAGATATGACGGAGTTGTTTGGAAGGAAGGGGTAATTCGTACCTTATTGCTTTCGCTACGGTCTTACTTAGAAAGGATTGAGCACTGCGAGTCACTCGATCCTCTGTTATACGAGACTTATTTGACACAGGAAAGTTGCATTTTCTCGACTCAAAGTCCTAAATTAACAGCTGTACGTGGGAGCAGCTTGATTAACTGTGTCCATTAATCAAAGCTGCATGCACAGTAAGCATATTGACTTCCAGGAAGTGAGGGTCAGAACGATCTTGGTAAGCGAGCCTCGCATGAAAGTCGCGTACACCTATAAATCTTGATTCCAGGACAGTAATGGGTATTTCACTTTTTGGCCGGAGAAGCTATCACCCACGCAGACGGTCGCATGGCGACTAACAATCAATACTTTAAAAAGTTTACTGACAAAAGGCAGGGCGACCAAAGTGGTTATTTTCGACTCAGTTACCGTTATCCGCAAGAGCAATTCCAAGTCCAGGTTGCACGCTCGGGATGGGGGGGGGGGGAGAATAATGTGGTTGAACCCGAAGCAGTTGACCGACGAGGGATTCCCTCATCAGTGCACACTGGGTTTACATCGTGTCAGCTGAAATCGGCAGTAGTAAATCACGTGGGAATGGCGTACATGCGTCTATCATGACTGTAGGGCGAAAATACTCAACAGCATGAGTTTGAAATCCAAGGCGTACCGCTTGGAGGTTATCATTGGCGGATGACGGGAAAAGAGTAGGAATGACCACGCCCTTTGTCAGAAAATCTTGTCAGTAAGCGAACATTCTCGTGTCGAAAGATGCTTAAGAACCCAATAAACGCACTTCTTTTTCGTATGTTTGGTAGCTGCGAGGATTCCATCATGGAAAGGCATTTATCCAAACAAGATCCACTGCAGGAGGGTGTATGAATAACCTAAGTACTAGATAATGACGCTGCCGATGCCCATGTTTCTCTTCTTCGTACTTCCGTCTCAGGGGGTGGGAACCTAATTGTTGAAACAATAATTTTACACGTCAGACATTTCGAGTTCTCTTCTGCACCCTTATTTAGAAACACCAACAGAGTGGGAATCGATGACGTCAGGCCAGTATACTTCTTGTTGCAGCAGTTTGGTCTTCCATTCTGATTTAAGTCCTGCAGCGCGCCCTCGACATAAAATTGTGCACATACATAACGTACGTAGCCAAGAGGTGAAATAAATCAACAGGCCGGACAAAAGACCCATTACTGATTTGCCATTCGTAAGTCTTCGCTGATGTCGATCGGACAGGTATGCACGCTGGATTTGTCGAACACCCTTCTAATTGGCGACACTGAGGGATGGTTTTTTGACCGTTAGCAGTCCAAACTAACAGATTGGAAGTAAATTGCCTTGAAGTATTAATAAATTTGGCGTGAGCCTTCAACGCCCTCTTCAACTATCGGCAGTTGTCTCAACGAGGTCAGCTGCTCCTGAACAAAAAATGCAAATTGTGCTTAACCTGCCCACAAAATCCTCACCGGTGATGTTCCAGCACTTGCTGGTGCAATTTTTTAACACTTCCCTATTTTTATGATAAATATCGGAGCTTAGCCTTTTTTATCTGAGGAGGCTGCCTGCGGTTGACTTTTTTCCATTTGTTAGGTATGTTTTTGCGTCCGTATGATTATTTGGTTGATGTATGCGGAAACGGACAGTTCTTAGTCTGGTTCTGATTTCGCTAGTTCCTCCTCCTCTTCCTTATCCTCCCCCTCATCCTCCTCCTTCATGTTTTTTGCTTCTAATATAGCTTTGATTAGCTGAGGAAATATTATGTTTGCGTCCCTATTCGTCTTGAAGTTTGTGCTTCCTCGGTGTCCTCTTCTTGATTTCCTGTCAAATTTCCGACCCTGTCGAGGCTTCGGAATGGGTCGTTCTAACCAACGAAAAAGCGTAGGGGAGCAGTGAAAAAGTCTGTTTATATTCAAAAAAGTTTGTTTTTTGTAAGCCAACTCTACTAATCTCTAAAAATGACCTTGCAGAGTAAACATTGGTGAACCCCTCTTGTTGTGAATAGGCATGAAAACCTCGAAATAAGCCACAAATGTCTAATATAAGACACTGTATGGGAAAGATCGCCGACCGGATGATAAAGTAAACAGCTACTACACATAACGCTGTAAAACTCTCATCCGAAGATTGGTACTCATGATGGAGGCGAAATCTGACAGGATCCTCTTTCTCTTCTGCTTATCGCTAGAACTGCCATGTGAATTTTGCAAATTACTTTCCCTTAATACTTTGACTACTTGAGTTAAATTCCTGGCAAACTTTAATAACTAGTTCAATTTCCAAGAATTCACCTGACTGTAGTCTTGCAAGTCTTGATATTGGATCATTCAAAATATGACTTCTAATATCAGCATGTAGGAATATTGATAATGCAGACTGGGAGTTTCTGGAGCAGTTAGGCATCATATGGCAACGGCCTTAACTTTCTTCGCAGTTGATATTGGATTGTCCACCTGTTTCTAAACTTCAGTTTTAAGGATGATAGAGAGTTCAATTTCCTTTATATTTTATTATAAAGGACAGCTTTTGCGAAATAAATGCCTTGGTAATCCTTCGCCAAACGCAATTGATCTGGTCAGTAGTCGTACTTTGAGCATTCCTGGGAAGGGAGAGTTTCCTTTTAAATTAATTAGTTAGACACTGCTTACCAGCATTGTGTTCTCCGTTCCAAGGCGAAGGATCATCCTCGTAAAGTGTTTTCGCAAACTGGCATTGAACGTTTTTGTTAGACATATTTGTCGACCTAACATACGCAGAACCTTAAATCAAATCAGCTATCCATTTCATATTTGTCAAAAGTTTTGTAAAATTCTCTGGAATATCGAGGTATTAAGAGGATTTTAGCTTTATTATTTTGAGAAAATTTTGAAAGCGAAATGACATCTAATGAGCATAGTTCGTGAAGCGTCTTACCTCAAGGTCACGCATGGAGAAATTGGAGTGCTATGCACTTCCACCCGAGAGTATTGGATTGGAAAATCTATAACTGAAAATGAGAGGTAATGATTACTCCTCGAAATTGTCTGACTTTAAATTTTTCTTGGTTGGACTCCACTTTGTCATGCCCGCTGTAGAGCCAGTTTACATCGGGAATGGCACCGAAAGGAAGGTAATGACGAATATCGAAAAAAATGTGACCATTCTCTTCGCAGAACACTCAGTATGAGTGTTGATGCCACTGTTTCTTTCAAATCGAATGCTCTTTAAGGAAGACTTAGAGGAATGCTTAGAAACTATTTTTAGCTATACATTGCGGTGTATGAAGCTTTCAGTGTCTTTTTAAATAAAAATGGCCTTCAAACAGAAGACGATGCAGCCTATTTCAAGCATCCGACAGCATAAAAGATGAAGTTAATTGCCGATGGTATGTCTTTGTGAGACTGTCGTTCATTTGACACACAGCGCCTTTTTTCAATTTTTCAACAGTATCACTTCCACGGCTGGTAAGGCCTGTATGCGTGTGCATTTTTAGGACATAAGGGATGGCGCCGTAAGCTGTAGCTGCTGTGAACATGAAAGCTTCGGTTGCGGCAGCCGCTTAATAGTTTGGCGTCGTTTTTATGTGGTAGGGGCCAACACACAGTTCTCTGGTATTGTCCAGCTATGAATACTAAAGGAGGAAAGAGTAAAACTTTGCTGCCTGGCAGAAAGCAGGTAAACCGCCCTTTTGTCCCCGCCCTATCGTTTGCCTGTTTTAACGGACGCATTAACTGGTAGGCAAAGATTTTCGCCTTTTACCAAGCAAGCACCACTCTAAAACAAAATCTGCATGTGAATACTGAGTTAGAATTTATTGGGTAAGCTTCTCTGGTTCTTATGTTATTTGCAAACCGAGTGCAGAGAGAAAAAAGAGTAAAAGACAGTTTTCACGACTAGAATAGCAAATATAGTGATAATCTGACCCACGTATGACCACTTTTAGGGGCTTTATGTCTCAATGAAAACATCATGTTGCATGGAATGCAGCTCTTATGCAGTTGAATTTTTGAAAAATCTGTGGAGTTTATGTGGGAAATATCGCTTTGCAGTCTCCCTGTGGTTAGATAATGTTGAACTTAATATCAAGTTCAATGAATGCAGAAATTTTCAAGACGGATGTCTGAATGCAAGCGAGGAAACCTCGTAAAAATCTTGCCTCCTTCGTAGATTTTAGTAAGAGTCGCCATCAATTATTAATCTGTTTATACAAGTTTGCTTGTCAACTTGTCGCAAGCCTCGTCTGCTTGGTGTTCTCTTGCTCCAGTTGGTAACTTGTAATAAAGAACGGCTGCTCTGCGGCTGCCTCCTAGGTGCTACATTGCAACCTTGTAGTCTAATGGCCTCGTGCCTCGGAATGTTTAATTCATCGAATTTTTATATAATATCCAGAGGGTAACTTTAAACGAACAGTTGATTTGTGTGGCAAAAAATGACAAAATTCACGAAAAGCATAGGTCGTCAGAGTCATGAGCATGTAACTTACTATTCCTATGTACATTCACCAGACATGCGAATAAGTCATCATTTAGACGAGGTTGCGATAAGGGGCAAAAGGAAACATGCTTGACGGTTTAATTTCTGCCGGTTTTGTGCGGACATTCTTTGAGTCACGGGGATGTGTGTCTTTCCGTTTATTTTTCGTAATTGTGCAACTAAATGTTTATCCCCGTACACATCCTGCAGGAAGCTACAACTCCTTTCGAGTTGGTGTTTTAACTACAACAATACTTAGGATTCGAAGGCTATCAATGTGAAATATTTTGAGAAATTCGCATGATTATCCGTCTATTCAGATATTCGCATGTTTATTAATACTGCTTAAAAAATCTACAAAGCTTTTTATTCCTCAGTGACATTTTATCAGCGCCTAGGTATGCTTTTGTAGTTAGATTAAAATACAAACTAGTTTCTTGGGAAAACTGTAAAGCATGTGGACTTGAAACATTATGAGCGAATGGAAATTCATTGCCCTTCAAACAACACAAAATCGAAAAACTTTTAAAGTCAAAGTACTTCCTAATTAGAGTGCCTCTGTTTGATAAAGAAGTGACCACCTCTAAAAAACATCCGAGAAATGAATCATGTGTCCGCAGTCTTCGAACAATGAAAACATAAATATCGAAAACCGATGGAAAAAATAAGCATTACTTACATATTTTTTTTTTATCAAAGTCCCATTCACACAGATTAGACGAACAAAACTACCGCAATGAAACGCAGCACTGTAGTATGCCTAAGATCCTCCGAACTGTGCTTCATCCTTTTCAGGGCAACATACGACGTCCACTTCGTCCAGAGTACTAGTGCTCTCTATTATCCCTTGAGTTTTTTCAACACAGGTTTTGCAGGCATATAAGTACTAGCTATTCTCGTCCCGAGTTGAAGCCCCGGAGATAATTGTGACAGCCGCTATGCCTGTCACGCTTTTTGTCTGGGCTAAACGGAGAGCATTACATAAGTCTTAAACATAAACGGATTTCAGCGAGTAGTTCATCGCTGGCTTTTACCAGGTTATGTATATAGGTTGTTCAGCAGTCCCCAGCTTGAAGTAGATAGGTTTTTGATCATCAGTCGTGTCGTTCGCACTTCATTACTCTGATAAAACTAATTTTTCCGTTTCTGCAGGCACTATTTTCAGAAGATTATACGCCTTTGGCTGAACGTCACCCGATTTATTTACATGTTACGCACCTATTATTTCCTTTGAAAGCTCTCTGAACTTGTGTCTATATCTCAGAAAAGTGTATGGAAATGGGAAAAATACGCCTACGGGAGTTCCGGGATCCTTCTCAATTTAACAGCCCCTTTTTCAAGTCTCGACTGCCCCAGTTGGAAATGAGTTTCCGTTTGTAAACTTTCTCTCTGGTCCCGCGGACGGAATTGGGTATTTTAGACACTTGATTATTTTGCCAACGCACTTGCTTCCAAATTAGCTTGTGAAATGGTGTTCTTCATAGATGTGTAGGAGTAGTATTCGGTGATCTGGCCCGATTGCAGAACGGAACACCGGCCCTCAACTAAAACTGTTATTTCTGAGTTAGATTCTCCGCAATCGGTAAAAATGCATGAAACACTTTTTTAAATACGGAACTTAGAGAATTAGACACATTTGCCTAACCCCAAAGCTTTACTGAATCATTCGGTGTTCAGGGCAAAGTTTGTGAATTTCAATTTTGGCGAATTCGTCGGCTAATTCTCAATGCTTGGGCGTTGGCGGCGACTACACACTCAAATAAGATAAGTCATTCTCATGTTTCTTCGATTAAATCTCCCATAGGCCAAAAACCTAAAATCCTTTGATGATTTCCATCGGAAAGAAAAAGTTGTATTATGTTGGTCTTAACTATCAAAGAAGATTATGCATATACTCAACCGCGAGTCAACCCCACTTTTTGCGTTAATATATCAACTGAGCGAAAGCGTTTGGAGAATCGCATGTTCTTTACGTCTCAAGACGGTTCAGTGAGTGGGACTAACCATTGAAAAGGGAGTCAAAATGATGTCTCCTCAAATTCAAACTTTCAAACTAAGATGGCCGTTATTTCTTAGGATTTGCGGATTTGGGTGGTAGGATTGGCTTAGAAACGGAACTAGCCCCACTAGGCTCATGCTTATTACCTGATGTTGCTAAAAGCAGAGTCGTGGCTTTGAAATATGACGTCAGAACTGAGAGAGCCTACTGATAAGACGTAACGATCCGTCATGTGTATAACGTAGCCGTCGCCTAAACCACTGTGCACGCGCGCCTGCCCACGGAACCAATTACGTGACAAGGTCGACTGTTGAAGGTCGAGGATTGGTTTAGAAGCGAACGTCTGGTCTTCGTGCGCATCGCATGCCTGTGCCAGCGTGTCCTGAACGCTGCTTAACACGCGTAGTTGGTATCATCAACCAGCTAACTCATTTTGCGTAATCTTTGAGATCGAATCCACCATCTAGATTCAACGAAGGGGACGCTGAGTCTTCAAAGAATCCTTTCTTGGATTTTGCCTTGTTTCAATCAAAGAATACGACTATTCCTCTTACCGGAAGTTTTTCGCATCGTAGGCTGGGATGGGCGGCTGCTGTTCAGCGAATTGTTGCGGTGGCGGGGATAGTGAGTTTAATGCTCTGTTGTTTTATGCAAGATTGCAAATTGTGAACTAGGTACTTACCAAGCGCGTAAACATCTATAGAATGCTCGTTAAATTTCTACTCTTGGTATGGCTAACACGAGGAAAGGTTGACAAAATAGTTCTGACTTTGAAGTGAGTTCGGTAGTGAAAAGTGTTAATGTAAATTTAGAAACGTATTTATATTCTGTCCAGCGATAGTCAGTTAGTGTGTCTTTTCATTTACAGAAAATTAAAAGAATTTGGTTTGAGTTATGAAACACGTTGGCAAAAGTTAATTAGCTTTCCACAGTCATATTGGTTCCGAATTGCTCTTTGCTAAAATATGGTCTGATTTGCCTTATTTTTGCTGCGATACTCTTTGTGAAACAAAATGCAGGGACTTGTGGCATTCACAAAGCTAGTCTGACACTCAAATACATATTGGTTATATTTGATGTTAACCTGGACAACCTACTTCAGATACCACCGCAAAAGACCCCTAACACCTGGTTGAATTTGCACAGTTTTGTGTTTTCTGTCATTGCAACACTCAAAGGCTTTGTGCAATGGCTATGCTGACTTGGATTCAAGTTCGGAACGGTTTAACATGCACCAGTCTGACGTACTTATAGCACCTATCGTGATGATTCCTTTGCATAACTTTTGCCATCTCTTTTTGCTGCCTTTGCCCATTTCAAAACCTAGTTTATTCAGTCTCTCATGTAGGTTGTTCTTGCTGCTGATCGAAATTTGTTATATGGATAAGACATTGAATTAAATTATTAGCCCAGGAGTTGCGGACATCGTAGCTCCAAACGGAGACTCCAGCAATTATACCGGCAGCATTAAACTCTGTCGAAGACAACAGCACTGCACCGCGCAGTTCTAAATGTCACTCAGATTGTCGTTTGCTGGCCCATTTCGAAGGCGCTTTCTTTTAAATCTACAGCTGTATCTTTAGTGACAAGTATTTCAGTTCGTCTTCTACGACTATTTTTAGTTCTCTTGTTGAGAGTTAGTAAAAACACGCATCTGGACCTCTGATTTGGAAAAGGAGCAACCGTCTTTGATCTTACTTTTTGCTCGTATTTTTATTTCTAGTCCTTGCAACGTAAAATAAGTTCTCCTGTCTGAATATCCGTTCTGCATAGGCTGGGTTTGCTTTCAAAGATTAGGGACTTACGAGTACAGGCCACCTAACTGTTCAGAATTTTCTCAATCGACCAATGAGGTACCCATGTTTCCTAAATGCCATAGGTAAGTTTGGCATTTGTCCCTTCACCAACTTCGGCCTTCATTTTGACTGAAACTTTCCACTAGACGCCTGTTTGTGATATTTGGTCATGGCTCCGAAGGGGAATGCTTCGCCAGACCGTCCGCTTCTAATGATTCTGATCACCTCAAAAGCTCAGACCTCCTCAGGGCCAGAAGCCATTAATGATGTGCGTCTGAATCACCGGACTCCCGTCATAAAAAGGCCGTATTGCCCTTAGTTCCAGAGGAGAAGTAACCGTTGAGTAATCGGCCTTCAGAGCAACTAGATTTCCAGCTGATCGGACATGGGTATTTTGCCGCATAACCCCACACTTCCTGGTTCGAATGGCTTGGAGTTGCGAAGTTCGCAAACTCGCACCTTACGGGTAGTCCATGCACATGCCCCAGTGCATGATAACCAGTACACGCATTCACTGTCATCGCGCCGCCGTTTACGTTAGCTTAGTGGATGTAGGGGGTTATAATACGAGGTTCTCCACCGCTACCATCAGCAAATGGCTGATTACGAGATCAGAATTGCATATGTTCTTTTTCTGTGCTCTCAGCATACTTCCGTAGTCGGGTAGTGGCTTCGGTGCATTAGTCGGCTACCAATCCGCGTAATCGTAGGCGCCAAACGCGCTGTCGGCATTACCATGACATGAAGTCTGTCTAATTTCAATGTGCACACGTCCATGCGCATATCTTTATAGTTTTTTTTAAGTGCGCAGCTTAAATAAACTGGTCATCGAGGAGTTCGCCTGATTGGGGGTGGAAGGTTATGGTTAACGAGAGTAAACGCTTGCATACCTTATACGCGAAAGCATGCATAGTCGCCATTCCAGTAGATTTAAATTCTGAAACCTATGCCATTTTTATCTAATCAGTCTGCTCGGATGGCCCGTAAGTACTCGAGCATACTCTTCTTTGAGTTCACGCATATGCAGAAGGCAGTCCAAGGTTTTCGAAGAATAATAGGCCTTAACAGGTTAATATTTCGAGATAAAAAGCTAGTAGGATGCAACTGTCTCCCTTTTCCTGCTTCGACATATCTTCTTGTTGGTCCTCTCCGCTGCATCCACAAACTGTTGGGTAGCCTCTGCCTGGCTTTAAGTGTGGATCACCTCGTCGAAATTTCAATGACCGACTGATTTTCCCAGACAAACAGTTCGTATTCTACTTACCAAATCTACCAAACATTTTTGCCGTCAATATTCTTCTCATTACTTCTTTGGAGTGCATTGTTCGTTCTTTTTGTATCCTTCGAAACGCGGTTTCTTAGTAACAATGTATACGTAGAGACCAATCACACTGAAACGCCTCTCTCTTGTTGAAAGGAATTCAGTCTTTTGTCCAATTTAATTTATTTCACCTTAAATCTCCGAAGCGTTTTGCCCCTAGTGCTTCCCCGTACCCCAATTCTAATGCAATCATCCTTTTCATTCTCTCATCCCCCCACAAAACTTCTTTTAGAATAGATTTTAATGGCCAATAGGGTACTAAGATTGAACAACATCGTTAATCTTTTGTATTCAGCACTGCTTGACAGAAACTCGACTTAACTACGACATATGAAGTGGGCCCCATCATTCCCTTCCACGTTATTTTTCTGAGGCAAATTCATAAGGTATATGTCCAGACCCGCAAAAAATACGAACCGAAAACCCTGAATGTATTTTCAAATATGAAAAATAATTTATGGGGTGTTTAAGTCGAATATGAAATCCACCCATTAGTTAAGCCCGGTGGAAATTCTGTCATTTTCTAACACAGTTTAAGGACGTAAATTGATTGGTATTTATTTTTATCTCAATCCTGAGCAACGCAAAGGAAAGTGGACAGCACCAGAGTTTTTGGATGAATTGGCTGTTATATCATAATTTCCAGACTAGTGTAGACGTTGACTTTCTGAGCCTAAACGGTCTACTTGCATTATTATCAGTGTCTAAAGGTTCTAAGTTGCCATCATGCCAAAAATAGCAAAACAAGTACTCTCAATAGGGAAAAAGCAGGGACGACTTTCTGTAATTCACTTAGGAAAACAACTCAAGACCACGTAGAAGTAGAATTGACCGATCTTGCCTCAATACAGAACTGAGTAGGGGGTTTCCTTTTGTCTCGGAGTTCTGGTCTAGAATTCTTACCGAATGTCAACTAATGAGAGGTCAGCAAATCTCGAGAGGTAGTACAGTCATGGACAAGAGAGACTGAAATGTCCGTTTAGGAACCATCTGCATGGGGCTGGGGCTGAGTGGTAGAATGTACCGCTCAAGAACTAAGTGAATCCTAGTCCTTATCGGTAAGGCTTCCCGACCAGGACAAGCTGTTCTCCAGCATACGCCTGTACTCGAATCTTCATTGTGACAATTGCACGCATGCTTCTTGCTTGGCGTTTCGGCAGTCATCCGTCTATCTTCTTTCTATGGACGATTTCAAATCCATTCTCAGTACGCTCTTTCTGGAAGGAAAATCATTTTCCGAGTGGAATACTGTGTTACAAAATAGTGAGAGCATCCAACTTTTATTATTGATAACTATGTGGAGAAAGGATCCAGGAAACTGGAAGTTTGTCGGGCTGATCTTTCGAAAGCAACCAGGCCTTCACCACGGGAGGATTGAGTGGCATCGCATTCCACAATGTTCTACGGTGTTGACGGTGCCGCCACCCTGCACTCGCCCGACGCCGACCATGAACGCTATTACGAGATCGGGGCGATTGTCCATCTCGCCGCCGTTTATGCTACGGCTCATTGGCGTCCCTCGGGTCACAATTGTGTTGCTTCTCCGTCTGCATGCCGCTTGGCCTAGACTCCACGGCGCCGTCGGTTGCGGTGTTTCCGTAGGGTTTGGCGCATCGCAGGGATAGTCATGCAGCAATTGACAAATTCCGTGCTCATGTGCCAGGCCTCTAACGTCTGCCCGTGCTTATGGTGTTGACTCGGTCACTTATTCTGGCATGTCGAAGTGCGAACGCATATCCTCTTGTGACACCGTGCTCTTTCACTGACAATGGGTCTATCCTTTTCATTGGCTGTGTGTCCCCATGCGTTTTTTAGTCGCCTATTCTTTCCTCTGACTAGTTTGCCTGACAAGAAGGACATCAGACCCGATAGACAACGCGTGCAAGTTAACCATATTGCAGTCGTTCTTCATTCGCATGATCTGTCACTGGATTATCATTTCAAGTCGTTGTGTAGTGTCAATCTCCAGAGGTTGAAGAGGCCACTTAAGATTTCGGACACATCAATATCTGGCAACACTCGCTGGACGTTTGATTGCCTTTTTATGGACCTATTAGTGTCGTGTGTCTTCTCTTATTCGACAAAGTTGTGCGGGTGCCAGCTTGAATTTTGACTGACATACTTTGTCTTCCATCTTATTGCAGTTGGTTTCCACTTTCTTGTGAAGGGTTCGCAGACGGCTGCGTTTGTCTGATAGCACATGCTAACTCGGTGTCCGTCTTTCCTGCGTACCGTCATCCTTCCGGTGGACAAGGATGTCCTTAAAAGTTTTCCTCTGTGATGAAGTGAATCTCCGAAAGAAATTGGGTTTCATTTCTCATGAACCTGTTACATTCTTTGCCCTTTTGGGGTGGCGAATGTTGAGAAAGAAGAGATTCGATTGGTGGAACAAGAATTTCATTGGATCATTTGTTCAGATTCACTCTTGAGTCTATACTTGGACTCGCCGACAGTAGTAGCAAACGCACAGCGTGTGATTGGTATGTAACCACACAGCAGCTCTCCCATGCATCTCGGATTCTAGTACTTGGTACATTAATGGCTTTGTCATCCCCGCCCAGGCCGTAAATTGCCGCGATTGTATCGTCGGTGCTGTGGATTAGCGTGAAAATTACCCCGGCATTTAACCCGCCATGACTGTCACAGGAAGCATTGGTCCGCAAGCGCTCCCCACGTGCATAAAATGATTCTGCCAATGCAAAGTCCTAGCCCCAGATAGGAAAAAAGTGGAGGTTATTGTTTTTGTTGTCTGATAAGTGTGACACAAACAGCTCACGACCGACATGGTAACCGTCTCTCGCGAGGATTGTAGCCTTAGCGAACTGGAAGCAGCTACTAGCTCCCATCTACTGAGCTCATAATTTAGAGTCGGCTCCATTCGTCATCGCTGCTGTGTTTTCGGTCATTCGCGTACTGATTTATCTTCCAGTTTCGCCGACATAGCTGACTCGCCCACAATTGCACCAAATCCGGTAAATGGCCGGAGTAGTTTATTGCTGTGGCAGCGGGTCTTCCGACAGCATCATTTAGGACCTGACTGTCTGCGTGCAATTCGAACTCTGAGTGACATGAAAAGGCGGTTAAGGGCTTCTAAGACTTTTGGCATATAGGGGGTGATCACTAAAATTTGGGTCTAATGTAGCTTGGTCTCACACATCACTTTGACGTACACAGGCTAACAAAGTTGGTTCTGAGTGACCATCAAGGGTATTGCAATTCCCCAACCTTGTCTTTCTATTTGCTACCGTGCATCTCAACACCCTGATACAGCACCATTAAGTAACCTCTTTTGTGGTTGACTGGGTGATTTCTGACGAAACTCGGTACTTTCGTGATATTTGTCGCTTTCTTGGGTACTTTAGCTTTTGGGTCGGTACTATGAAGAGTATTCGGTTGATTTGGTTCTCCTCCATCAACTACACGACTGAGGAGATAGGCTTGTGATCTTCCTTGAATTTCTAAACCAGTTTTTCTCCGCTGAAAATTCAAAACGAACCTATACAGCAGGACTCACTGTCGTCAAGAAATTTCGCAGCCTCTATTTATTTGTTTTCTACTGCCTTCTAACTTTAATAACAAGCAATAGAAGTAAAGTAGTTTGAAAATGACTAATCGAGATGAAAAGGACAGGATCACAGTCCGGGAAATTGGATGAAATTTTTTTGGAATTTATATAGGCAAGCAATTAAAAGACCGTTTCATGCAAACAAGTGTGTAAATCATGAGATGGGCCGGTTTTATCATATGATTTGATTTTTTACACAAATCCGGTTTCCCCTTTCTTTGATAACAGCGAAATTTTATCGACGGACCAGCCCTAAACTTTTGGTCTGTACTTACGGAAAATCTTCAATTTCAGCCGCTGAAAAACCGCCTTGGTTATGAGACCAGAAATCGATGATCACATAAAAGTGTCTCTCGCATGTTCATGCCACGCAATTGTCTGCGGTAAATGCGGGAACTGACCATGGGTTCTGGCGTGAATCCGAAATGCCAGTCGCAAACAGATTTTGCTTCAATTCCCAAGTTTCTCTTTTAAACGGATTTCTGAAGCCAACTTTTTTTCCTGTGCATCGGTGTTAAATCGGTCGTCTGTATAAGAACCGCAGTCTCAGTTAGAAGGCTTATAGAGCAGTCTTGGCAACGAGTCCAGATACCCACAACCACATTTGAAGACTTTTATTCTGCTCGTAGGTAGTCTCATTGAACGTAGACTACCTTCTAAGGCTGAATTTAGTCAACTAACCGATGGTTCATTTGGTCATTTGTGTATTTAGCTATATTCGCTCTTCAGTTGTTGAAATTAAAATGAAGGGTGACACCATTACTTCATCCACACCCATTCGCAACTCCCTAACGTTCTTTGTAAGTTTCGGGTTTTTCAGACCTCGTTGTGTGAATATTTTGGCAGCCGTTTCCTATGAGGCCATCCAGATGTCCTCGTAGTGGGAACTTGCTCTATTAGTAGGACGGGACAGAAAGAGCGTAGTGGGTTCAATGCCAAAAAATTTATAGTGTGAAGCACTTCTAATACATCTCTTTCTGGCCTATTTATCCCTCCCCTTCTGGTAAAACAGCGTGAATGGCTTTTCTTCCGCGCATCATTTTGTAAGCGACCATAATTACGCCTGGATAGCACCAACACTTTTTTACATGCTTATAAACAGCTCTTCTTCACCCACTCTTTTTTGGTTAACCCGTCAGTGTGTTGAATGGGGGACAAAGTTTTCGCACGGGTGAGATGTATTTAAGCAGCGGACTGCGTACGGTAAGATGGCTCCCTTCTACCTCTTTGAGGAAACTTGACGCTGCCATGTTAGAGACCCTGTAGAGGTCTGTTCAGGTTGTCGACGTCAGTTTCGCCAGGAAAGCGAAGAAAGCGAGCCATGAAAATCAAACGCACTTTCGGACACAATTAGCATAGTAGTCGCCAGAGGGTAGGTAAGAAAGGACCTGCGCAAAACGTCCAGTTTTTGAAACCAACGTTTTTTTAAGAAGACGGTCGTTAGATGCTGAAGGTACAAGCAGCAGCCAAAAGCTAAAAAGCTGTTGGGAATGAGTTAGGAAATGCGGAAGCGTTTTACGCTAGTAGCAGTGTTCAATATTTCCTTAAAAACTGTTTTTTCATCTTCTCAGCTGAATGAAGACTTCTCGATGGAACGCTCATCAAAATGAAATTTATGTTATCTCGCATTCAGAAGAATAACTAGACACACCAGTGCAGCTTTCTGTAGCGCCAAGAATGCTTTAAAAACATAACACTGAAGAATTTTAATTTTAAAAAATCACCAATCACGATGCTGGAAGTATATTTTAATGTACTGAAACCCTGGAAACTGTCGATATGGACAAACTGCCTTAGAGTGCACCCTCTTTTAAAAGCCCTCTTTTTTATATTTTTAATCCAATGGATAGGCAAATGAGCCTAAATTCTCTCAGTTAGTGCTTATGATGATTGAAGTTTTTCATGGCTGATTTCCCAGATAAAGACAGAAATAACGAAATTTTGTAAAAGAATGTAACACAAATGATTGCCCATCCCTCTTACAGGCACGAGGTAAAAGCCATAGAACCTGATTTGTGGAGTTCAACGGCTGCATGATACAACTACTAGCAGCTGGGCTCTCCACGATAACGCGCGTCCGTGTATTTAGCTAGTGTCTGTATTGAAAACAGGGTGTAACACGTTTCTCTGCACAAACTGAACCATTGCTGAATTGACAGATTATGTGCCTGGTTCTGCACTGAACCTGACGCTTCCTGACTCGGTGTTTACTTGAGAAGTGAATTCAGACCTGAGAAATTCGATTCCAATTGTCGAACTCCAGGTTTCTCAATTAACTGCAGAAGAAATTTTAAATTTGTTAGTGAAACGTCATGAAACATCCACATAACCGAAAGAGGTTAGACCATGATTCTTTGGAGAAACCTTCCCGAGCTTGTTTTATGGACTACTTAGAAAAGGTTTTCTGAAGGTTGACGTCATTTTTTATCCTGGCTTTCAATAAAGCAGGTACACTGATCGCTCCTTATATTAAGACAGTATACTGATGTGAACAAAAAGTGGAATTTAAGGGAGCAATCGCGAAAAAGAAAATAGCTGGAACAAGAGCTTTACTAGCCTGACGTTTTCGATTCTCATTCGAATTCATCATCAGAGACAGGACAAGATAAGCGTAGGGGATTGCAAACTACTTTGACTTACTCAAATAAGCTTATATAACTCCTTTATATTGTAATTTCAGGCGCCCAGAGCACGTTTTTGACCCCATTGCCAGGAGTTGTATCCTCTGCATTCTGTCTTTTAGATTATCGGCACCCAGAAACAACCAATTAAAATCCAAGTGAACTACATGGGGGGGGGGGTAGACTTTCAGATTAGCTGTGGTTTCAGGGCTTTCAAGTAACTTTTTTTAAAATGTGAGTGAACTATGCCGAGCTTTTTGGTTTTTGGAAACAGCGGAACTAAAATTTCAGTAACTGCCACATGTTTAGCAATTCATACTTTGAGCAGTTCATACAGTGAGGCTTGTCTAACAAACTTGATCAATTTCATTGCTGAATTTTAACGTTTAGGTATCCTATGGGCATGATCCCGAAATCTTCAATTTCTGCTTCGCTAAGCCTCTTCTTAATTATCTCTTGACTTGACTATCATCCTTAATAAGACCAAAAGGATTCGGCTCATATCCTAGCTCAAAAAGTCTATGCAAATCAGTGTGATATGCACCATCGTACGGGCCTTTTTAGGTGTTCGGTCGACTGGGAATGTTACCTCAGTCTTGCTTATCCAGGTACACGTGATGATGCTGGGTATAGGCTGAACTTAGAATCGCTTTATGCAGTAGAACGTTGGTGTTTTGTTACTTTGACACTTATACTAGTGAATTCTCATTTATCTGTTGTCATAAATGGGTGTTAAAACATTTATTGTTCAAAATTCATTAATTTGCGACATTCCTTTGTAAGCGAGCATCCTGAATATTTGATGGGCGCACCACTCGATTACACTACAGTGTTCCCGGCGCTCTTGTTGTCTAAGATGGAATCACCCTTTGATCCTGACTCACAGTACTCTGCATAACTTTTTGGTTTTCCCAAGTACGGATATTGGAGTCTTGCCAGACCTGGAATTGTGATCAATAAATTTTGAGCGTCCACAGACTTCCCTAACCCATTTCCTAAACGTTGAAGAGAAGCGAGACTGCTACCCGTAAACGTTCGCTATGCAAATATGAATCTCCGTGGGAGGGGTTTCCATCGGCCGCAAAATTCGGTATTTCTATCGATTTTTATTTAAACCAGCAGATTTATCCATGATATAATAATAACAACATAAGTTCAGTGCTTTGAAGTACACATGCCCTAGACGTCGATAACAGTTGCACCTACTGGATTGCATATTCACACGCCTTCTTAGATTGGGTTTGTGACTGTAGTACTTCAAAACAGAAGCGGGGGAGTTCAGTTGTCATTTTCGTCAATTTGTCTGATCTTGCCTCCTTACCCGATTATTTTAATGTTTATATTAATTATGTTACAAGTGCACTTTTACTCACTCTCACTGCCGAGTTCTGTCCGCTCCTGAGACGTCCGAGACCATCGTCGAGGTTTTACCTCGACTAAACTGTCTATTCCATCAATGTTCAGACGACTTGATCTTCAGATGTCCTTTGTGAGGCAGATATGTGAATGCCTCATTTTCCCTGTAATCTAGGTAGCACAGCCCATTGAAGGCGCCGAATACGCCTCAGAATACCCGTCGGCCTATAAGAGTTGCATAGACACACAAATGATGGCTCCCCTTCCTTACCCTAAAGTACAAGGTGGCGGAAAACTTGGGGCAAACTTTCGTTTCCAAATCTGTAACGAACTAATGGGGTAACTCCAGTGATAATCGTATTTTTAACAACACTTCTTTGTGGACCACACTCCTGAACTTTATGATATCTGTAGCTTGAACCCTGAGCTCACATTTCTGATTTCAGGTTTATGGGTTAAAACATCACCTGAAAGCTGTGCGTCTTTATAGATGACGGAGGTCTGCATGAGGCCGCCTGTGCGTGCCCGGGAAGCGCTGAAACAGCGCTCGCGTTTGTGTCATGCAGGCCATTTGGAGGGGAAAATCAGCAAGGGAGAGGATTAGTTGGCCCTTAAAGCAGTTTCATTTATCGACTACTCTTCTTCCTTGCATAAGCACCTCAGACGCGCATATTCTTCTCTGTTCAGGAAGCAGTCTGCTTCGTAATCAGTCACTCAGACTCACGAGTTACTCGATCTGAACGACTTAATGTGCGCTTACTCAGTAGTCTCGGCATTTCTCCTCATGTCTACCGTTAATGAGCCAGTTATACAATCAAGGCCTACAGGTTAACTGCTGTACTGGAAGACCTGGGCTGTGCTCGAAGGCGACCGACTGGAGTAAGGATCTGAGTTCATCGCAGTCCGGAATCGGACTAACGCCAGAAACTGACATTCCCGACCCTCTGTTTCATCAGATCGTCTGTGCTCTTTTGCCTTCTTACCATTATACGACCTCTTATGAGCGGCAAGCATGGGCCAAAAGACAGCGCGATCAGATTCCGTCTTGCAAGCAGGTCAGACTTGCGTGCACGTTGTAGCTTGCATCGAATGTGAGTCCTCTGACACCACCGCCACGTCCTCCCCCCTTTGGCGCAGCGTGCGAAATAAAAGCTGCGAACGCGCGTCAAGGTCAACTGCAGAATGCGTTTGTTGGAGTTCGTTATTGAAAACTAAGAAACCCACACGGCTGAACAATGTTCACTTCATGCATCGAGACGGGTAAAGATTTTGTCAGTTGTCACTGATGCCAGGCTTAGTTTCGTGAAAGCAGAGGGAGAGCAACTTCTGTACACTATGGTGGTCCGTGATTCGAGTACTTGTTTGACAGTATGAATCTCTCCTTTTGCCACGACCTGCTCAAACTACTTTGCTGGCCATTTAAATCTGCCGTTGTCAGGTTATTATTCCTTCAGCTAGCCAGTCAAGATAACCCTTCTTTCGCTTTACTGTAAGTCACATTCTTAAGTCCTTCAATCGATGCGTCATGAATATATCTATAAAACAATATATACAATGTTCAAGCAATTATATTCATATAGTTTCCCTCAAATACTTTGTGCATGTCAAGAATTCGAGTTGACCGCAGTACTGCAACAAAACGTCCTTTGCGAGATAATGCGTACCTTTAAAGCCGAATTGTTACTTCCATGTTATTATCCCCCTCTCTCTCTTTTTCTCTTGATGGAAGCCTTTACTTGAGGGCGTGTTTGCTTATCGCGCACGCTTGGACTTGTTCAAGCTGCAAAGCATCCACATTTGCTATTATATGAGACCAGACCCTGTAGACAGATGATTTATGGTCGTGTGCAAACAGCATAATGGCATTAGTCTATATTTCTCGCACCCGAGCGTGTCTATGGCCCAGCGAAACAGCTATAGTCACGGCAGTCATCATGAAATCCTATATAATCTTCAGCTAGCATTTCCTTTTAGAGAAGGCAAAAGTTGGGAGTGTTTGTACTGAAATGCAAAAATACGTAAGAAAGATAATTTATATCGGATTTCTAAAACCCGCAGATAGCACTAGAGACATGTGAGTGCATATGCTACCGTAAATGCACATACCTCGTGTCTGAGGTGTTTGAACATGTCATGTAGCCGAAGAGAACGCAACATGCCCCCCACACTGAGCAATGTTACTTGGCCTCTTATCGGTTTTTATGACAAAAAGGGCTTTATGTTTATAGACTTCCGAAAACTAGCTTTGGGTGTACACCATCATCCTCTAAATTGGTGGGTGACCAGAGTCAAAGCACTGTCTCTGGGACGTAACTGTCAGGAAATGTGATCGTCCATACTTTGTTGTGCGTAATTCAGCATGACATTTGGAAAAGAAGACTTTACTTTATGTTGACGGGCGCCAATCATTGCAAAAGATGCACGTTTTGGATACGGAAAAACCGCGAGTCCCTTCAACCTTGTCTCCAAAGTCCTGTGTTTGATGTCATTCCCGAAGACGGCAGGCAGAGTGAATAATTCAGAAGTCAGTCCCAAACTCCTTCTACCCTAACTTATTCCTTATGGGTGTATTTTTTTTAGTGATGGGACAGCATTACGTAGGCAACCGTCCTTGCAGTATCAGTAGGCGCATGGGAGCTGCTTGAGGTGGGGCGCGTTATTGCGTTGACCCTCCCGCTCGGCGATCCCAACTCTCCCCCCTCCCCTAAGGCACTATTTCAGGTTTAGGAATTGTGCTTTGGGCCAGTACTTTTGGGTCCAACTTTATTCTACTAGCGTTAAGGGCGGAGGGGCATTCCGGAAATTTCTTTTAGGTTTGCAGTTTGCACCTGGACTTCCACCGTAGGAAAACGGGATGGGAGAGGGTGAGAGGTTTTAAGGTAACAGCTTGTCTCTTAAGTGCTGTGTTCCTGCTGCGGTTCCCACCCTTTCAGCACCTCTCTCTAGGGGCCTCTAATCTTGCGAATTTCGGAACAGCCACCACAGAGCATTTAGGTTTCCAAATTTGTGTTTTTTATATTTATAATACTGGAACAGTGGTCAGTAATGAAGCTACGCATTTCCTACAGCCCTCCAACTAGGAGCTTTAAACCGTTTTGAGCTGAGTGGCGGCCGGTAGAAAAGGAGCGTCCATTCCTCTCTATGTTGATAGCGGTAATTCTAAGTAATGTAACAAGCACTGATGCCTACTCCCAACACTCCTCAAATGAACCTTGTCTTTGCGGATCTAATGACCTTGATTGTTTTACCCTGTGGCTGTGACCTAAGTTGTTCGGCGGTCGGATGTGGTTTGGTAGCCCCACCTGAAGTAAACAAACCTCAGTCACCTCTAATACGCGACCGGTAGTAATAGGGGATTTTACAAGTGGAGCCGGAGAACGCACAGGCGACGAGGTCAAGTAGTTATATGCAAAAGAAAAGCTATTGGGAGTGCGTGGTTGTACTTTCAGGGGTTGAGAAATAGTTGCGCCAACCCCTAACTCTAACCTCAGTCCCTAACTATAACCCCTAATCCTAAACCCCAACCCCTAACCCTAGCCTTTATCCCTAACCCCAACCGTAAGAGTATTGTGTCCATCAGGTGGAGCTACCAAACCACATCTTACCTGTCCTCGGCAAAGTAATATATTTTGGAAGGACGTCCTCTGTCAACACGTCAGAATCGTGGGCTAATACTAAGCGGCAACGTTATATATCTTCACTCTTTTTTCTCAATATCAGCTGAGCAGGTAGGAGTAGCCTTCTAGCCTTCCTAAAGCCAAATAACCACAGAGACTCAGTGATGTCTGGCAAACCAAACGTTCATCGTGCCGAGACACTTCCTTTTATTCCACCCTAAGGAGCAAGCGTAAAGTACTTTTGCTTTTCATCCGAACGTTCGCTTCATCCTTCTCCGTTATTACACCTGCAGCGTATCCTGTATATTATCTGTGCCTATCTGGTTATCGGTGTCCCATTTTGCACTCAATTGGATATCTTTGAAGATAGGGGTAGCCAGAATAAGATAGTGATTGAAACGTCGCTTGACTGTTCCACCACCATCACTTTCAACTGGCATGGCCTTGTCCTCGTCTTAGCTAATTTCAAATTTACTATCACCCTCTTCCATTTGTGACCTGGCGTACACACGAAGCTCCTTAAAAATCGAAGAACTTGTCCATGCTTTAAAAATTATTATTCACCAAGCCAGAGTTACAAAGATGTTAGAGATCGTTGGAATGAATTATTTGATGTACTACCTCCATCAAAATCGACACTATGACTTTGCATGCAACTTCGGAAGAATTGGCAACACTGCAAAAAGCGGATAACCCTGGTGCGTCGAACGCAGTGCGGACCATTGCTAATCAAGATTTAGTGGCAGCGTCATACGTCAGCAGCCCTTGGAAATTCCAGAGACGCGCGTCTGCAGAACTGGGCATATGGCTCTACAACGCATCATGCCGGATATCCGGGTGAACCCATATCGTCCGCGTGCTCTCCACGCTCCTAAGGACGATGAAGGAGACAGGCGTCTCCAATTGTGTGAAACTTTTGTGGTTGCATGCGAAGATCTCCTGACTTTTTCAAGTGCATTATTTGGTCGGACGAAGCTTGCTTCAGAGTAAGTGGTCGGGTACATACCCCTCCTTCAAATATACAGGACTGAACTGGGTAAATCGACATACCTACGTCTGTTGGTCAAATTCAAATCCGCATGAGATATTACAATAGGAGCTTAATTTTCCTGATGCCACCATTTGGGGTGGCATTCGCTGTTTTGTCTTCATAATTGTTTAAACTTTCAGTATGGTATTATAAGGGCGAGGTAGCTCATCAATACAAACGCTTGTCTGTGTTAGTATTCGAATAAACTAGCGAAACTCGACTCAAAATACCTATCATTACCAGTTTTATTAAATCCTCCATGAATGGCGGATTGCTGATGCTCTCTATTGTTACAAAAACGAAATTACTTTCCTCCCAGTTCTTCCTTTTACGTCATAGTAAGTGTTTTTGCTTGGGCAGTTGCCACTTGGCAGGCCAGGCTGTCATGACTTCTTCCCGATATTTATTTTTTACCTCATCTTAGATATGTAGTATCCGAATGTGTGTAACTTGGTTCGTGCCAGACGAGAGATCCAATCCCATCATCAGGCAAATTGGCTTATTCTTATCCCTAGAATAAGGTGGATGATGGGAGAGACAGAGAAGCTGGTCTTGCGCGAACTTTCTCGCAGTAATCTCATTGTTGAGTACTTTGACTGCTTCTAACCGTCATAACGGTGCGCTGAGGGGTTGCACCCCTCGGGGGCTGACAGCCAGGTGCAGTGGTGTCATGGTTAATCTCAGGGATATGTGACCGAAGGTGGGGAATCTAGATCTTACCGACTAAGAGATCGGCGCGTGTTCGCCACGCGAGAGGCCGAGATGAATGCCGGACCTGCCACAACGGCCAAGCTTTATTTTGCTTGGTCTGACTGATTATATCTTGGCAAATCACGATTTGAGTCGATGACTGTAGAGTTTTTTTTTGCTACACTACAAAGTTCCTGCAAGTCAACACTGTTTCCTTCTCCTCCGGGTAGTAGCATTAACTTTCTTTACGGTTATAATCAAATGGTAAAAAATAGTGTCCTCTTTCAATTGGTGACAATATGGGGGATCAAAGCTTGTGATACCACAAAGCCCTTAGCTGTTCAGCTCTTTTGCTCAGCACAAATCCTCCCCAAAGTTGCCCCGGTCTTGAACCATAGCCTTGCCAAAGCCGCCATTATTGACGTCTGCCCCGAGGTTTCCTGCCTACTCCCATCAGTGTCTGCTTAGTCGCGTTGCGGAGCCGTTGGGAGTCACCTGCTCGCGTGACCGTGCTGTCAGAGGGATCTCGTATTCACGACGATGCATGTAGTTAATTTTCCCGCTATCGTCCTCCTTAATTTGAGATTTCTGACTACCGACGCCTGGCCTTCCAGTAGCCACTACAGACCTCTGCGTATACACCTGGGTGTGTAGTTTGAAGCGACACTAAATCATGCATAGTGGGCCCAGGCAAACGAGACTGCCTGACTTCCCGTCAGTGGGCAGAGGGATCCTCTGTGGTTGTGCAGGCCAACACCCTGCTTACTCACTGCCTCGTACGCGCGCTTGCGCTTTCTTGCACAGGCCATTTTTTCCAACGGCTACTACCACATCTGGAAGTAGCCCTAACCACTGCTGCCGACCGGGCGATGCTGGACAAGCCTCGTAATGACTGAGCGGACTACGCAGGTTTCACGTAAGCACGAAAAGGGTCGAGACGCTGGCAAAACGTTGACAGGCCCGCTGATTCACCCAGGCCTTCTGCTCTCTTCGCGTGCAGATCGCGAAGGGAGGTCAAGCCACCTCCTCCTCCCGCCTCCTCCCCCGTACCCGAACACCTGGGCACATTTGCAGACACAGCGTATTTTCATGCTGGATGGGGAAGGGCGAGTATGAGAAAAAATCATAGTCACCTTTGGGATTGACAGGGCTTGCTGTGCTGCCGAAGCAGCGCGCGGACAGTCGTTCAAGTTCCACTTCTGGTGGTTTCAACTGTCGCGCGCCCCCTAGCCGGCAATAAAAGCATCCTTCCACTGCCGCTATGTGAGGAAGCGTAGGTAGTGGATAGAAAGTGTGAGATTTTCTAGGTCCCTCATAAAAGGCTGCTATTTTCATACATTCGGTGCATCGTGCGTGCGTGGACCCGGACTTCCCATTGTGCAGGGAGATAATGCACTACGGGTAAGTTTCGTCGACAAAAAAGCAAGGTCATTTTTTGCTTATTTTTGTCATCAAGCAACCAACCATACCCAAGTCCCAGGCCTGGAAATGGTGAGATTTGAATTCAGTTGCAATTCGCTATTGAGCTTAACGCTCTTCTACCTGAATTGCGGACTCATCCTTGGTCGATTGTGACACGAGTTACGAAACAGGCGTCCATCGTACGTGTCAAACATGCATATGCATGCAAGCATATAAACTAGTCTTAGTCATTCGACGCAGACAATGCCGACACACAAGACGGAACGCACTTGGTAAGCCACTATAGGCCTGAAGGCAAGAGAATCCACATACTGGGTGGCTAGAGGACAAGTATTCATAGAACTACAGTGGGGTGATATTTCTGCAGTTGTATACGCGTGCCTCTGATAGACGATATGGGAGCGGAGACTGGCTGCATCTACCTAAGCGGTTATGGGGGCTGGTTGATTGCCAACACTAAAGAAGGCAGCTCAAGGAGTCGGGCGATCAGGTACTGCCAGCTCAAATTAAAACTGCGAAAAGCCATTGGTGTGTCTCTGGGATGAAAGTTACTTAGAATTGCTGAAGTGGGAAAACGTCAATAGGACTTCATTATCGATTACCCCTTGAGGAGGCGTCTGCCAACTTAATCGCTGCCCTCTTAACAACCTTCCCATTTATCACTTTGAGGGAAGTGCAGCCTTTGTTTGAAACATTGAATCTACACACTACACACTGAACCTACCAGGTTCTGATTATTGACAGTCAAATGACTCTTCAAAAGGTCAGAAGTCCAGTAAGTGCCTCTGCGGGGGACTGTTTATTCCACCGAATGTCCCATTTGGCTTCAGGTCTCTCTAGGCTGTTGTGTTTCCCCTTCCAATTACAAAGAGATTAAGTTTTCGAGTCGGTAGCTGCCAGTATCTATTGGGCTATTCACGCAACATCTGAAACGGACTTTTAAATAATTGACAAGGCTGGACTGTACGTTTTAAAGCATCGGAATTTTTTAGTTCACTGACTTCAACGCAGCCTAATTCTGTCCAGTTAGCAACTGGTGTTATTGATTATCACGGCTGACTTGAATTGGGATCGCTTTTTGTGATCTGGTTCTACTCGTAAGATTTTCTTCCACTTTCTTAACGCAACACTCGCCTAAAAACCCAGAAACCTGTCAGTCATCTAGCCAGGCATTAAAGACAGTTTACCCATCCTCCCTGCTACTTATAGTCCGGACAAGGTCTAGGGTGCTGCTTTTACTCGAACCTCCATTGAGCACCTACGGTGGCATGTTAAAGACGCATTTTCGATTTGGATTCCGGTCTGCGAACCCCGACTTGCGTCAGTCAATAATAGTTTGCCTTCACACGAAGGTCACGATGTCTCATTTCCCCATCGAGACCTTGTTCAATCTGTACCTCGGGGTAAGTAGGCCTTAAGTGATTTCAATTCGCTCATTTTTGGTTTAGATGACCAAGGAGTTCTAGCAAGTTGTCCCTTCCCACCGAAGCAACTGGTTTTAGACATCTGTTGGGGTCCAGTCAATCGCAGTGTTTGCAGTCAGGATTAGAACTGTCATCTATGCCGTACACCTTAGATCTGAATTGGAAGTAGCTGCGCCTCAAGTCACGTAGGATTTTTTTTCCCATAGAAACACACGGAGCGTTATATATGCACAAATATGCTGGATGTTCATCATTCCTGGAGTTTTTTTGGTAAGGGTAGGGTGAAAGATCCCAATTAGATTTCGGTAGATTGTGGATCGTGTCATGCAGGAATGGTGGTAATGGGGGCTTTTCAGGTGGGGCAGCACGTCAGAGAGTAAGCTTTCAGAATGCAAGGCAACACAGAAGACAGCTAGTGGCAAGAAGAATACTTTGGAGTAACATGATGAATGTATGAAGGTACAGTATCCATCTGGATATTTCGTGACATGCCATTTTGAAAGAATGCCGGGCTATCGAGCAACTGAGCCTATCTCGGGCCGACATTTTTATTATCCCTCAATTCATGCCTAGTTGATTCTCGTCTTTTGTTGCTCCGCTCTTGGATACAACTGCCAGTCGTCAGTACTTGACTAGACTTCGCAAGTGCAGAAACCACACAATCCACGGTTTACAACAGCTACCTGGAGTCTTTCGCCATACATTTACTGTTTTTAAAATGTGTTTATTGCCTAACACAGAGGTTCCTCTTTATTGCTAAGTACAACAATGAATTAAAGACAAGGGGAGCTGTGTGCGCATGTTAGAACATCTGGACCCCCTCAATCTGGGTGAACTGGAATAGTAGAAGAACCTTCTGTCAGAGGGACTTGTATAGCTGGAGTATTAGTAGTCTGAAGCGAGTAGCCTCTCTTTCATTGGGATGGCAGTCCGTATTGAAACGTACTTGCTTCCCACCCATTATGCAATGACGGCAGTCCTCTCGGTCCTCTTTCGTACTCGAGCACTCGAATCTCTGAGGTGACCTTTATCCTAAAAAAATTTGGCAGGCTCTTCCCTCTCCATTGTGAACATGATTCTCTGACTGTTTTGTCCTATTCGGTCTTTTACCTGTCCTGCATATCGGAGGGGGGAGGAAGTGGCTGCGCTCTTTTCTAATGAGGTGACTGTAGTTGCCCCAAGGCCGTTCTTTGATTTCGTTCCCCACGCCCATCTACCGTATCACCCCTTTTCAGATTGTAAGGATAATGCAGCTTACTGCCTATTTTGATTAAGTCAACTGGAAAAGGAGATGAATAAAGCAGAAAAACTTAAGACGCAAGAGGTGGAAGAATCAGCGGTAGACACGGTAATGCCGTTCACCGACCCATGTTCATTATAAACTAGATGTTCTAAACAGCGACGCCGGTTTTCAAACACAGGAGATCGGTGCACCCAGTAGACATCGCGCACGACATTCTCTAATTAGGAGGCGCCAGTGTGCCTACCGGGGTGACGGCCGGGGCGTCGTCACACGCCTTTCCTGACCTTAGGCCTTCTCGGGTTATGGTGTAAATCCACATAAACCACCGGTGGCTGCACGATACGATTCCTTGAACTGAAGTCTGACGGCCACGCCTCTCTCAACTGTTCTGTCTGGTAATGGTCATTTTACTTTGCGATACCTGCAACGAAACTTCCTACTTAAGGTTTGATCCCCATAGGCAGTCCTCCTGAAGTGGTTGAGCTAGTCTTTTCTGACCGATACAAGGAGTCTTCAATGACCAGCAAAGAGTGCGTACTACTGTGCTGCAGCTGGAGGTTTCTGTAAACAAGTTGAGTTTGCAGTGCGGTTTTTGAATTTCTGATTACCATTCTATGTTATCTGCCAACCGTATCTCTTATACCTTCAGCTTGCCAAAGGGCAGTACTTGTGTTTATACTGAAAACACAAATCATAAATTTCTGCCTAATTTAGTAAACAGCCTCTCCCCTCCCTATGCAAACGTCCTACCGGTAATTTAACTTGCCTGTTGAACAGAGGAAAAGTCTAAATTTATGACTGACACTTTGGTGACTCGCAGAGACAATTGTGACTCCTGAAATCCAGACAGCTTTTCCCAATGATAAGAACATTAACCTTCAGCCTACTTACAGTTTGGGGTTTCGTTTCCAATTTGAGAGGCCGCTGGGTCGAGATTTTGTATCATACATACGCACTTCTTGGCAAGATAACAGCTTTTATTATTAGTTTAGATATTGCGAACACCTCAGAGTTTTTCGATGGGAATTATTTCAGTCAACCACTTACTTGGTTTATTTGCTCGGTTCGTGAAGGTGGCTCTGTTGTCTGCGTTTAACAGAGAATTTACTAATGAAGCCCTATTCTTCTTCTGCGGTAGATCTTTATCCATAAATATGCAGCCATATCCCGCTGAACACAGTCCCATGAAATTGGTGCCAAGACTCATGTATGTGGCTTCGGGTAATTACGTAGAGCCCCCTGAAACGTTTATTTGGCGACTGAAATTTATGTTGTTTATAGGCGACTTCATGTCTCCTTACGCCGTAGTCCTGAGAACTCGGGAATTCGCTTGACGTTCAGATGCCCGTCGCTGCACACCAATCAATCCCATCCCTGCGTCCATTGGAATTTTTAAAATTCATAAAGGATATCATCGCATAAAGCCTCATTCTTCAGCAAACTGCACCTACAGCTAAGTCTGATAACACCACATGTTGGTACAATACGAGGCATGGCTACGCTGGTATCGGGTGTTTCAGTAAGTCTCAACTCCTCCCCTCTTGACGACTGACGCGTTCATAATTTGTTGGTCAGTTTATGGAAGTATCCGCCAGCATTAACACCAGTCAGTGTGCGACTTGACTTGGTTGCGTTCACAGGTCGATCAGGTGATTCACAAGTTAATTTGAACCGAGAAGTTTGGCCAAGGAGGACAAGGAACATTGAGGTGGTCATTGCCGGCTTATTTGCCATTACCAGCGTTGGCGTAACAGATGGTTGAACACTAGTCACCTTATAGTCGAGAATTTCGTATATCAAACAAAACAAAACTGTCACAATCTCGTGTTGTAAGTTTTTATTTGGCGTGCTTCAGAAATTTTTGCCTGTGAAGTTTCCTCGGCGTCAGGCATTCGAATACTATTACGCCTACTGTGCAGACACATTCAAGGCTAGTATTACAGATCCACACCCTTCCATAATAGAATACATTTTTCCTAATTCGGAGATGTACAGGCCTAGCCCTTTTTGCTCGTCCCAACGTCATACTGTCCGTCGTTACCGGGGCTTTTCTTCGGCCCTCCCCGAAGTACATCTACTGACCGGGATGGGCCTGATCCAACTTCGGCCACATTATCACGGCGACATCTGTGGGGTGTATTGCTTGGTGGCAGAGGTTAATCAGTACGACTTTAGACCGTCTTTCTCCTGGATAGGCCGGTAATGAACTAAAGGCTACCAGCGTTTTTAAAATTTATGTCCCTCCTGCCAGTAGGTAACCTGTGACTAGGTCGGCGCATATCAGCCCGCCGAATAAAAAGACTGCGAAAAGAAACTAATGGGCCACGAAAATTTAAAAGGCCAAAGACTGCTTTCCGGTCTGGTGCTGCATCTTCGATTTGTTCCGTACAAATGCGGTCTCATAACGTCGTATTTTGCATTTTTTTGCGCGTAACCACTTCCTCTTTTTAAGACCAGTGCCAAATGTTGTGTGTAGAGTGAGTGTCGACAGTTAGCTGGGCATAATTTAGCACAAGCTTGTTCTCAGGAGCTACATCCGAATTTATAGATGGATTATTTGCACGCAGCTTAGGGGTCCCTGTCAGTAAGTTATTCTACGTTTTCCTTTTATAGACACGCAAAGGAGGCCCCTTCTCATCGGAGATACAGGGAAACGACCCTTGAAAAGAAAAGATCGAAAGGGAACAGACCGTGTTGGCGCTGCAGCAGCAAAACTGGATCAGAACTCCAGCCACAGCACCTCCAACTTCAGCGAAAGGACTGAAGACCAGGGACAGCTCATTTTCAAAAACTGCGAAAGTCTTCTCAACGGAACGCTTAGCACACGCTCAGGCAGCCTCCCCTTCAACCATTCGAAAAGGGGCCATGTAAGTAGCTTCAGCACTGGCCCAGAGGACGAACAAGATGAACTGGAAGACGAATATGACAACTGGAGCAGATCTGCAGTCTCGCAGCTCCTAGTCCAGGTCACTGAGAAGCTAGCCGATCAGGATAACGACATTTCTGGTGAACAGGAGATCCAGCTGTCGCCACGCTCTGCCTATGCCCTTTTCGATGAGTACTCCAGCATAGAGGAGCAGGAGAGGCAGCAGCTTCCCGTTTTCTCGACCCTCCTGACGCGAGCCCTAGAAGCCAGCCGGACAAGCAACAATATCGCTCCCGTGCTCTGTCTCAAAGCCACCCATAACGAACTCTGTCAACTCGAGAGCGAACTCTTTGCCCACTTTGCCCGTGCCGACTATGATACCACCTCGCCAATCAATCTACGCAGCTGTATCCACTCAAAACATCTACATCCCACCTATGCGCGCATGCTGTTACTGAATCTACGCAAACTCCTCAGCCATCCTGCCCTTGAGAAGGCACCTGAACTGCGTTCTGACCTTCGCAGTTTGGTGGTGCGACTGGAGCAATCGCTTTCCTCCCCCTATCCCTCAGCTGCCTTTGAACTAACGTCAGAGGACACAGCCACTCTCTTGGAGGTCATTTCGGCCACCAATTTGCCCATATTTGATCCCGTGTCCACGCCTCCTCTCATCTTTAATGAACGAGAAACACCCCTTGTGGCGGCTGCCCTGCGAGTTGCTCGGGCCTCACTAGATCTCCGCGAAATGGCTGACACGCAAACCTTCAAGTCTTCAAATCATCGGGAGCTCTTGAGGGATGCTGGGTACTTGGTATCTGCGTCTGACCAGTCCTCGTGTCCTTCAGCCAAATCCTTTGCTAAACTCATTTCTGCTGAGGATAAGGTCCTACTGACCAGCATACTTCATGACCTGGCTGAACAATCTAAGGGCCTTGCCGTCTATCGATTGCCCTCTCCCTTGGTTTCGGACCTTCATCAGTTGACTGACAGGTTTGGCCTTCTTGCCCTGCAGTGTGCAAGAGTTAAGGTATCTAAGGCGCTCTACGTTGTGAAAAACCGTTTCAAGCTGAAACCGGAAGATTTCAAACGTGTCTGTGTCATCGAGCCGCCCTCTCAGCAACTGATTCTTGATGCCCTCGTCCTCATTCTCGCCAGCAATATTCAACCAGCATCGGACACACAAAAGCTGAAGAACCTCAAATGGAAACTACAGGCCATCGTGGACGCCGGCGACCCCAAAGCTTCTTGTGAACTTAACGAGGATGAAGCCTCCTTCCTGGAGCACATGCTTACTATTGGTCTTGACTACAACTTCGACAGGGAACTCACGTGCCATTCAACAACTAGTGACAGTGTGAACCCCCATTTTCTGGCCGAAGAGAACAAGACTTACGGCTGCAAAGAGGTTTACGAACCAGATATAGCTGCAAAGTCTGTTGTACCCGTCTCCTCCTCACAAATAGATGCCTTCTTTGAGTCAGTGCCGATGGTAATGGACACGGGAAAAACTGGCGCGTTTCTGGATGACATGTCTACTTGCAATCCGTTTGGGGACCCATTTGGACAGCCGAAGTCTTTGAAGCACCTTCCGGAGGGGAACACTAAATACATTGACGTCGAAGAGGAAAGTGTAATTCGTCCAGCCCATGTGGAGACAACAGGTCGTGCACCCTCAGCGTCTTCCCTTTCACAGAGACCGGAAGCTCAGACAGACCTTATTCCCGCCTCTCGACAGACTGAGGAAAACACCTTTATTTTCCGGCTGCTCAATCATGCCCTTATGCTGCAGTGTACATTAGAAGTGCTCCAACGAAATTCAATGCAGCCCTTCTCCTACAAACTGGCACCTTTTCAGGTCCTTCAGCTGTGTGATAGTGTAAGAAAACTCTCTTCAATCACTCCGAGCACAGACGACTCGAAACTCATAAAGAACCTCTCAATGAATGCTGACCTACACTCAGCCGTTCGGCTCAATATGAAGACCATGCATCGTCTGCGAGAGTTCCACTCTCGCGTCTTCAAGTCTGTCATTCAAGACAGCATGACCAGGTTGGCCATTATCCAGGAGTCCATAATTTCCTCCAATCGAGAGGAAAATCTGCCTCCAGAGGACGCTTTCAATCTGGCTGAAATATGCTGTGCAACACGTTTTAACTATCTTGACTCTCTTTCCGTCTTCTTCCTGCACCAAATTCAATCTAGAAGCATGGCTATTTCAGACAGCTTACTTCCCCTAACTCCAAATGAGTTGACGTTATTAAATCAGGAAGCACATCAGACCTATGTACAGCTACAACAGTTAGAACAGAACCCAACGATGGCTGCTGTTCCGAATGACATCAGTCTTGAGCTGTTGAATCTTTACAAGCTGCGTGCTCTCGCCCAGTCACCGGAGATCGTTTCGGAACAGATTCAAAAGAGGTTACTTTGGCGGCATGCGCTCTCCCAATTCTTTCTTTTTCATCCAGAGAAAGGTCTCAAGAAGGTATTTTCCGAAGTCGCCCTCAACGTTTTCGTGTATGAGAGTGAGACCTGGGAGGGAGATTTGAAGGCAAACTTCATCGCAGAAGTGGAAAAACTGATTGACAGCACGGAACGCAGAATCCTTGTTCGGCCTGAAGACTTAAACACATGGCTTCAGAGCAAGAGGGAGGACGCCGGCACCATTAGTTGTCTCGCAACAACACTAAAGGCCTACCTTGTCAGTTTTTTGCTGAAGAATCGAGAAACAAAAGTTGATATTGGCATTATTACACCTTTGATTATCAAGCTGGTTAGGTCTCAGACCATTGACAGTGGACTGAAGTTGTCAGCGAGCGAAATTGACCTTATTAGGGCATTCGTCCCCAAACAGGGTGACATCCCGCCTACATATATTCTCGACAAACCGGCAGAAAAGGAATGGAATAAAGAGCGCGCAGACTTGGAACGTGCCTGCGAACATGACCTCCTCGTCACTGAGCCTACCGCCCTTGCGAAAGTGGCACATTTCCAGGCTGGTATCGCTCAGGCCTCCGCGCGGTCACAGCTCTTACAGATCCTTTTGATTGAAACGATTTCCAACGGTCTTGCCAGAAACATCTTCCCTGTCGGTCAATCTCTATTCACTGACTTTGTTCACCCCACCGGTGCGACTTCGGAACTCACGCAGGAGAGAGCTGGATTGAATGGTCAACTCGGAACCACCAACAAGTCCCAGACTCTTCAAGACGTTCGAGATGGTTTGAAAGAAATCTTCACTAAAGAAGAACTTCTGACCTCACCTGATTGTCTTTCGCGGGCCTCAAAGTTTTATAATGATCTGTCCACTATGCAACCCGCCCTTGCCACTGGCGGTGATCTTAGCAGACACTTTGAACGCCTTGTTTGTTTGCAAGAAGAGCAGAAGGTATCTAGTGCGACCCTTGAGCCGCTGATCAGCTCAAATGAGGCCTTGCTCTTCGCCCTTTTGTCCTTCCAGGCCCTCAGTTCGACAGCTGCACAATATCAACCCGACGTTGAGAGCCTCAGTTACTTGGTGTTTGCGCTTTCCATATGTCGTCGACACTTGGCGACTTCGGAAGCTATCATTCCAGCTCTGGATGCTCTGGATAAAAGGGCGCGCACCATCCTCTCAGGCTTCGTGCCGAGCAAACTAGCCGAGGTCGATCTGCAGACGATAAGTCAATTACAACACCTACTGACCAAACGATTGACCCCTAAGTTAGTCCGGGAAATCACAGAAAGTCTGAAAGAGATTAGTGCTAGTTCAGACGTCAGTAAAAATAAACTTCGTTTTATTGTGTTTGCGGCCGTCCTTCTGCCTACAGCCGATACACGCGTTAAGCTGCTCGCGCTGGCTCTCTGTCAAATACTCGTGACTTCCTCCGTCTCTATCCCTGCCGGCGATCTTCCAACACAGCTTAACAATTCGGCTATTACCGAGGTCCTTTCATCTATGCAGACTGGGCTCTCTTTCCCCAGACCCTATACTGCTGACAGGAGCCGCCTCCTGTTAGCTCTGCTTCCCAGCTCTCAAGAGGAAAGAAATACGTGGAAGTGGGACCTGTTCACATTCTTTCAAACAATCTTCGCCGCGAATTTATTGCCAGCCAATTCGACCTCAAGTCTTGTCCCTAAGAACCTCATCTTGAAAGTCGTCTGGTTATACCTATTTGAAGGCCAGGGTGAAACGTTGCCAGAAGGTGTGCTACTGGATGAGCTGCTTGATTCGCTACTTTATCATAACACGACTGTCTGGGCTGACGAAAACAAAATTTCTTTCTTTGAGCATCTTTTCAAAGCGGCCCCACAAATCCCTACCGATATTATACCCTCCGTGGTCGAGCTCACGACCGAGAGCTTTGAACAGATCCATGACACTGGCCCGATTCTTCCGTCCGACTCTCATTTTCCCTCACTACAAGCTCATATGATTGCGGAGGTCCTCTACTCCCACATGCGAATGGAGACTCCGCTAAGCTTTGCAGAACTTCTTCTTCTCTATCATGCTCTGGCCACTGTCTTACGATCGAAGTATCTGAGAGGACAGCCTGCTGCGAAGGTTGGCATTACCTACAGTCTGCATCAAATTGAGTGGTCTCTGTCAAAAGGCAATCTTCTCCCCCCTACCGATCTCTGCCTATCGAAAGCCTACCATGAGGGTTTTGTAAAGGCCACTCTCCTAGATTCCAGAAACGAGACAGTTGAAGACTTGCGCTCCCTAGTTGCCCCAACTATTCTTTCTTCGGAAGATAGCGGCCCACTGGGAAGTCTGGATTTGCGTCAGGTGTCGGAAGGATTACGAGCGCTTCTGACCGGTCTCTTCCTCCTTTCTCCTTCTGACGCTAAGTCAACTTCGGAACTGCTTCTAAAGGCCTCGTCTAAGCCTTGCGCGACGAACCACGAGTCTATTTCTTCCGCCCTGTCACCGGCTGACGTTGCAAGGACGCACGCTCTTTTTGAGAACCTCTTTGCCTTGGATATGACAGGACCACTGCTCACCAGAGATCTCGACCTCAACTTTGACGTCGTGCTGAATTGCGCTCCGCCACCGAAAGTACCTGTGGCTGCAGAATTGGCCGCCAGCATCCTCGCTTATCTGTCATCAAAGAATGAAATAAACTCGCCCGAGGAGTCTAAGCTTTTCTTCCACGCCGTAGTTTTGCTCTCTTATGCTGCACGCTCCTCTACCTCCAGCATCCCACCCAGACTCCATCTAATCAAGACGATCGTTCCACAGCACCTGCTTCAGCAACAGCGCGATCAACCCGGTGCGTTGGATCCTACTGCCGTTTTTGCAGTTTCCGTAACCTCAGATATGTCCACTGAGACTGTTGTCTCTTCGCCAACAGAGAGTTTCGCTTCCTTCTCGGCTTGCAGCCTGGTACATCCCGAAGATCGCTTTTCTAATCAGATCTCTCCGATGGAACTGCCCTCATATGACTCAAAAACCAACGAGGTAGAGAACAACGTGTTCTTCAGCATGGACTCTCTACCCAAGAACTCCATCACCTCAATCACCTCTTCCTCCGTGGTCGACACGAACGGTGAAGGAGCGGCGAAAGCTCCACCTGATACACTACAGGTGTCTGCATTCGCAAAACTGCTGGCTTGTCCCGACGGTGATGCTGAGTGGTTACTCCGGTTAACTGAGACTTTTCACTGCGCTACTATTATCCTGGCAAAGAGTTCCCTCACTCAGCTATCACATGGCCGATTCTTCCAGGCTATCCGAGCTCTGGATAGAGGCAATGACCAACACGAAGGGCAGGTTTTCCTTAAGGCCTTTCCTAACCAGGTGTCTGAAATGAGGGAGTTACCATTGAGCAAGTCGCAAATTAGCCTCCTGACCTGGCTGACTGCAGCCTGTAAAGATCGTTTAAAGAAAGCACTTCCGACTCTTATTGCCAAACTCGCCCACAGCGGAACCCTGACGGTTGCGGAGAAAGATAAGCTTGTCTCGCTTATCTTTGCGTACTTTAGCTTGAATCTGCCGGTGGCCAACAGCCTTTTGAGGGCAGCTGCGGGCTTGCTGGCAATAAAACTAAACAACACAAAAGGTCAACTCGTTTCTGAGGAGGTACAAGAATTCGCCAAGAGCCTGCTTTCAGTGCCGCCCACTGAACATGTTGATGATGAAGAGTTGGGTAGGACGGCCCTCGCTCTTCAGGCGGCCTGGAAAGCAAGTGAAAATCTCCCGTTGACTCTTACTGAACAGATATGTCTTGCGTACACCAGGCTGCTACCGGACACGGTTCTACCGGAACTCAACGATGCCATATTTTCCTCTAGATCTTGGCCTATGAATCTGGACGCAAAGCAGCGGAATCATTTGCAGAGGAAGAGTGATGCCTTGTGCGAATTACTAGCAGATATTTCTTTGGATACCCTTGAGAGGAAGGGCCCTAATGCCGAGAACTTGTCGGCACTACTCGCTTCTTCTGACCTACATTCCTGTGAGTCTCGATTGCGGACTCTGATTGAGTTCCATGGACCCCACTCAGATCCTCTTACCACACGCCTCATTGACACGGTGATGCGGAACCGCCAGCCCAGACAAACCTTCCGCGAGTGTGCCGCGGCCATCCTTGCCTTACTTGATTACAACACTCAAGACGCTTTTATCGTCCTTTCGCCTAGAGAAGCTGTGCAGTTAGCTGAAGACATTGGAGCTATCGGAGAGGCTTCGGAAGACTTATCGCGGGAAGAGTTGGCGAGAGCTCGTAATCGGCTTTATTTGGCCACTGCCTGCTTTTATGCCACTGTCAACGATGATAGTTCGTCACCTTCATCAGTCTTCGAACTTCCGGTAACTTACTTGGGTCTTCACTCTCTACTGAACCGTCTCTCTAGCGCCCGACTAACACAAAGAATGTCTCTGTCCGAGCCTATTCCACCCTCTCCTCACTCTACCGCCTCCCCAACCCTCCAGCCCTCAAATAATCTAAACGAGTTAAGCAGCGATCTGAAACAACTGAACAAGCCTTCGCCTCCCACTGACGAAATTACCTACCTGATTCGGCACCCGCCTCAAGACATGGAAATGTTGGCCTCGAAGCAGGACACTCCGCTAGGGACCAGAAGTCAAAACAAAGTTACAGGAGGCGCTCCAGTAGTTATCGCGGGATCCGATAGTCCTCTCCGTCGACCAGTCTGTTCGCGCGGAAAACGTCAACGCCTGCTCAGTTCACAATCCCTCGGCATGCAGAATCTTGCTTGGAGAGGACGCGGTCGACAGAGCAGCTGTGGCTTAGGCCTGGGTGACAGTGCACCGTTCATTAGCTCCTCCAGTCTGCTCTCACTGCCGCTGAATCTGGCTAAGTCGGGTTCTAGTCTCTTCACGGCCTCTGATTTGTCACTGAACGCACCGCGTGGGAAGTCCTCCCTCGACAGGCTCTATGAATTGGTGGAGATTCGACGTGCCGTGGTGGCTGGATCCCTGTCAGAGTTGAATCTCCTCGGCCGAACTCCCAGTTCCTTTACTCCTTGCTGGCCCGTGCACTCACCGTCTTCAATTCCTGTGCGCCGACCTTATGGTTGGTGGCGACGTGGGAATGTTGGAAAGGCAGGAGCTGCAGCAGCCGGTCCCTCGACACCGCCCACAAAAGTAGATTTAGGCGATATTCGTAAAAAATGCGCCGAGAATACGCTCTTCCTGTTGAACCGAGCCGCTTTCGAGGAGGATGAGGCACATGCCTGTTTCCACACAGTAGAGGCCAATCTTCGGTTACTGAACAACGTCTTAATTGGTTCGCGGAAACCAGTATAGCAAGGTGAGTTTCTCATCACTTTTTCTCTTCGGCGAATATCTCGACATTCGGTCTCAGAGGACTGACAATTCAACATAATTTTCTACGGCGAGAAACTGTGTCCACAAATAGACCGACGGTACTTGAGTAGGCCTTTGGAAGGTGAAACAATCTTGGGTGTCGCTTAGCGGTGGTGCTAGATACCCAATGACAGTACTTGCCGTTGCACAACCGAAACTACGTACGAACGAGGTTGAATTGCATAGCACGTCGATAAATTGGACGGAGTCCACAATGGGATAGTATAATCTGGGTAAGCGGATCTGGTTGTCATCTTCTAAGGCGTGACAGTTTGGAGGCTAATAGTAAGGGAGAGTCAAAACAGTCTACGCTATTGTGCTATACCTGAACAGGGATCAAGCAAATTTGTTATGCGCATTGCCAAGGAAGATAAAGGAGGGCAAGATGGTCATCCCTGACTAATTTACCGTCATAAGCCAGCCACATTTTAATCCCAGTCGAGAGATCTCCGAGTTTCAACATGGGTTCGCTTGGCCACTGAGGCTGGCGCTTAATTAGTTTGGTCCAAAGATCACGCCGTCAGTTGTTTTAGGGAATATCCGATGTTACCTATCCGATCTGAGTATTAGACAGAGTATAAACTTCGGTTTTCTATCTAGAGCTTCATCGTAGTGTCCTCGCAGCAGTCAAGAAAAGTATGCCCAGGATGAAGAATTAGTAAGCAAACACTGCATGTACACTCTCGCTTACTCTCAGAGAGGGGTATGTTTGGGCGTCTGTCAATTTGAACTTCGAGTCTTTTTGAGTAGCTGGAAAAGCCTATGACAGATTCGGTCAAGGTCCATGAATTGGTATTTTAGCAATCCGAATGCCTGTCTTTAGGTCCCTGGAAAATGTGTTGAATTTAGATGGTTATTTATGGTAGACATGAATTTTCACCTTTGCTGTCACTCGAAAAGTTTGATTTCCTTTTGTCATCGCTGTCAGCATTTTCTGCGAAACTGTTTCCGCAAACAGCGTGATGAAACCACAATCAGCATTTGGGTGGACATAGGTTAACTGCTAATTTGAGGGAGATTTTACCTCTCTACCAGTCAAATCCCGACGAAAATGTATTTTCATTAAATACTGCCCATCCACGGAAAATCTGTCCAAATAAAAACTCGAATTCTTTTTATTTAAATGTGGTCTTTGCTGGGTACCCTTTGAACCTTCTTGTGCTCTTGCTTTTGATTCTGTGCGTTTTATTGTCTCTTTCCGGTGCGGCCTTTCAGCACGCTGAAGACGCCGTGATTCTTCAAGATTGCCGACTACTCCTGATTACCCGGTCAGTGGACCTTCCTTGGTCTGCCTGTACAAACTAAAAGTGTATCACTGGTAAAAGTTACAGACCCGTCGCCACTATTATTCCCATTTTGTATAACTGACTTCCATCCCTGATTTCTCATTTTAAGCCTTATGTGAGCGCCACTACCTACTGTTTTCACCTTTTTTAGAATATGGACATTTTTACCTGCGTTTCGTGTTGTCTCATTAAGTCCCCGGTGGATACATAATTTTAGAAGTCCTTTATCGTTTCCCTCAGACATCGTGCACAGCCACGACTGGTATTCGTATAGGAGTTGCAAGAGCAGGAGTATAATCTATGGGTATTGCGGTTTTTATGTGACTTTTCGCGTTCGCTGTTCACAGTATTTCTCAGCGGGTTGTGTACAGTTCGGATATTTGTGGGCCTATGTGGCCCCCAGGCAAACAACTTGGTCGAGATTTGGGACAGACTCTTTTCAGAGGTCTGCAACTTTGGGTGGAAGTGCGATCGGGGTTCTTTCTGACAGTGAGGATCTTTACTGAGGTTCTTATTGATCAGCTAGCTGCGTACACCACTATGCCCAAAATAACGATTAATGTTACACCGGAACATCAGGATGTTTAATATATATAAGAGGCAGTTCAATGGCTCTGTGTCATGGCCGTGGGTAAAAGATCAGGTGTGAATGGCTATCGCTATGAGTACTAAGCGAGGCTTGTTGAAGACCACTTACGACTGTTAAAGTAGCACTGCTGTTAATAATAATAATAGTATACTTTTATTAAAGACCTTGGGGTCCTATCATAGCAAGTAGAAATAAATTTGCATAGGAATTTTAGAACGGGCAGACAAAATCTCCAGAGTATTCAGTTCATGCTTTTTAAGTAAGCAGTTTGGTCAGAAAAATAATTAGGGAGCAGTTATAAAAACTCTTTTACCCAATAAGCAAAATGACTGTAATCGGATTAACTTTAAAGGAGAAAAAAACTGCGACTCATGAAAGGATAAGAATGCGGGCAGCACCGGCCTGCATGTAATGTTGTATAGCGGATTCTAAACAGACATCGTCAGGGCAAAAACTGTCTCTCATGAAGGGGTAAGTATGTGGGCCAGACAGGACTGGCCCGCATGCGGTAGTGTATAAGGGAGTCGATACGGACATCGTCAAGGCAGAATTCATACACCGGATAAGGCTATTCGCGTCAGAGTGGCGAGACGACAGGGACCCAGGCGCGATCGGTTACAGTCCGTTTCAAATCCAGCCGAGTATGGGGCAGGGGAGATACGACCATGGAATCTCTTTTTGCAGACCGACCAAACTACTAGTCGTTGGCGAATATGAAGGATTCCGCCGTGAGCGTTGACAGATCGCTTGGATCCAAAATGAAATGACGTCAAGAACCGCGAAAATCATCGCTGCCGGGGGGGAGGGGGAGTAAGAACAGTGGATAATTATCAAATGCTTTGTGTCATGGTTCAAGTTTGCGTAAAATTCAGAAAATTATGGCTCTGATGTGGTAGCGAGTCGGCTTTGGCTTCTTTAAACCCGCTGGTTAGCAGACTTAACTTGGAATTGGTGGGTAAAACCTCATTCATGTGTACTCTTTGATGTACGAGCAGACGAAATTTGGTCTCTGCTATGTTTTCTTTGTCATCATTCTAATATAACCTCTCGTCTGGGGGGTGTGACGGTTTGGCCGTTCACGACGATGTCAACAATGCGCTCCACAGCAGGGTGACAGCAGGGACGGTGCCTTGCGCGCGAATCAGTTTAAAGTGATCGTGAACTTGCACAACATATATCGCACTCTCTCGTCCCCCGCTCGAGCCCGGTGTTAAGACATGGTCAAGAAGACCGAAGGTTGAAGCTGGCGCATGTGACGGACACAGCCAAAACCCGCACCTAGGCGTAGCATCACAACCCGCGGTTCGCAACGTACACACTGGCTAGGATTTTTTGAAAGAATGAACGGGGACCATCTCGAATTTTAGTTGACATGGCGTGGGCCTGCACCTGTGGCGTACCTCTGCACCCGGAATGTTGGCATTTGTTATGGGTGGACATTCCTAGTAACGCCCGCCGGACTCCGATCTAGCCCCTCTTTTGGTCCGGCATATCTATCGCGTGGTCCCATTCTGGGAGCCTGGCCGGCATACTATCATCAAGTCGTACTAGCTGGTAGGGCCTAGGTCAGCGATGTGGGTAAATGCAGCTGTTCAGTCTCCTCTATCGAACTGAGAGATTGAGGTTTCATAGATGTTTTGGCAGATTTCGAATAATTGATATTGGCCCAACTGTGAGAAACTCGGGGCCTCGGTGGGATTCGAACCCACTCAGTAAGGGGAAGGCTTTAGTAGAGCCAACGCTCTAACCACTTGAGCAACGAGACCCCGCCGGACGACTCGAGTTTAATCACATTTGGGTCAAGTTTACCCGCCCAAATTACTGCGACGTCTGGAATCCACCAAATGTGATACTTCTATGAATTACGTGAGCCCGGTAGTCATCTGGTGGATTTTAGGTGAAATACTTAGGAAATCCTGCTTGGGCAGCCAACTTACTGTATCAGATTTGGTGGATTCCAGATGTTGCAGTAGGTTGGGCGGGTAACTTGTCCCAAATGTAATTAAACTCGCGTCGTGCGGTGGGGCCTCGTAGCTCAGGTGGTTAGAGCGTTGGCTGTACTAAAGCCTTCCCCTCACTGCGTGGGTTCGAATCCCACCGAGTCGCCGAGTTTTGCACAGTTGGGTCAGTATGACATTGAGGTTTGGCTAATCAATTGTATATCTGAGTGCTCTCTAATGGGAGGAATTAAGCATGAAACAGTGTCCAGAATATCCGTAGCCTGTAAGTTTGGCTGACCGGTCAGGCATAGTCTTGTGACTATAGCGGCTTGTCATGTATAGTTTGTCTTTACAGAGCCGGGGGTTGATGCTGGAATTCTAGTCAACGGCGGTAGTCGCTTGCTCGAACCCTGGTGACACTTTAGCGAGAGCCACCGAAGAGGCGGCAGCAAGATCGGCGCACTAGACGTCAGGGACTGTCGTTCCTGAATTTGAATCCGTAAAATTGCTCTCCAAAACTTTCCTTTCTTGTGTTTTAAGGTATGGTAGTCTTAGCTTTAGTCCCTAAGTGGGCTCGAGGATCTCATGCATCATATTCGTACTAAGATGGTCATATCAATGCTTCAGACCCTGATTCACATCACTTCTTAGGATTTAAGGCATAATATGAAATGTTGGACAAGTGCCTATAAGACTTATTTGAGGGCATTCCCACTAGTCAGAAAAATCATCCAAGGGGGAAGTTTCTCCTATCAGGGCTTCTGAGCTGCTAAGTAGTAGATGTCGCCGTACGGTCAAAGTAAGCGTACTTGGATTTGGTGAGTGTGGTCGTCAGGGTATAGCAAAGACGATGCCAGCCCAGATTCATCAATAATCAATTTTGGAATTGTCGTCATGAATGTTACAAAGACACTATTTGCCAAAACCGACGGGGAACCCCACTGCAGATAGCATGGGTGACCACGAGTTACATGTACAGATGCTGCGCGTAACATTAATCAACAAGGTTCTCGGTTAGTTATAATTTTCACCTCTGTGCATTTAGGGTCCTATCCGAAGAAATCTCGAGAACTTAGCACAAAAACCCTTGTAACGCAAAGGCCGCCCACCACGCATTCAAGAAAGTTATACTGCGTTAGAACGACCGCTAGTCAACAGAAGGTATAATTTGGTTAATGAATTATTATTTATTAGAAAAGGAATGGTCTATTTTATCGAACAACACCATTCAAAAGACGACTTTACGACATGCCAATTATTTAAGGTCGGTCGATAACTGCCAGCAGCGAAGGAAAACAAAATACAACGAAGAAGAAACGAAAAACAGTAACAAATACAAATTATCAGCACTATGCTTATTGGCCTTTTGCGTTAAAAGTCTGGCGGGCACGCAAGTTGCTAAATTGTCTATGGTGGGCTGATCTATCAAATTTTTGAATCCAGCCGTAGTTGAGTGGAGATTAACAATTATGGAAAACTACTTTCTACTCATAGCATTATCACAAAAATAATTTTATTATATTTCTAGGACTGCGATAAGGTTAACGACTAATGTCTGTTTTTAGCAGTCCCAGGACGATTCAGTTTGTTTGCCAAAAGCTTTCACTTTGAGACAAGTAGTTTAGTCGTAGTTTTTGCTGAGTGTACAGGTCTTAAGCCATATATAAAGAAACATTGACAAAAAAGTCCATGGGGATATCACTGTACCATTTTCATTATAGCTTGAAAAATAAAAACGTACATCCAAGTGACTTTTTTTAAAAAAACCGGTTTTCTAAACTTTATGAATCTTTTGAGCACGCGCTGAAGAGCCGTGAAATAGTTTTCATTCCCAAAGTATGATAAAAAAGGAATCTCTTACCATTTTTAATACATCGTCCTTTGTCTGATAACTCATTTGTAAGTTTCACTTCCTGATGCCTTCGAAATGTGGCGACTTCATTACTGTCTTTTCATGCCGCGGTTTGAACTATTTAAAACGTATTTTTCTGTTTATATGCGTATTCCCACTCTTTTGCTAAATAGCCAGTTCACAATACGCATTTGTCTTCTGAAGCGAAGCATAAATATATGGTGGCGTAAACTGCTTACCGTTGCCCAACCCTTATATTTATCTGTGCAGTCCCAAACTTATGGGGCTCATCAAGGCTTCCGTTTGGGGATATTTAATCGCGAAAAGTCGGAGGACAGAACAGACAATGCTTGCTGCGCTTAGCTCTCTCTCTACTCCTAGATCTTACCCTCATTTCTCCATTGGTTATTATCATATATCGCGACGGGGACACGCTAGACGTCCAAGCTGTGACAAACTAGGCAGCTCTTTCATTTCCAAACGTGCTTAAAAAGTTATACGTGTTTTAAAAGACAACGAAATTTTCGTCTATTTCTGGAAGCATATGGAGCGTTTTTTGATTCATCT